AAGGAATATGCAGGGCCCGCTTCCCCATGAAGCATTCACTTCCAAATATAACTTTTGCAGATGGACACATAGTGAAATCAAGTGGTCACACAGGTCTGTCATTTGACCCTTTGCACATCTCTTTATCCTGAGCATGGGCCCTTTTGCCAGTTTGTTTGCAACTGACGTCATAGACTCACAGGCTTGGGCGGGGGTGGCAAAGTTCAGACACTCGAAGCCTGCACTGCCGCTAAGAGGAGTAAGGGTTTCCCAAACTCACAGATTCAAGTTGGCACCAACAGATAGATCTCATTGATCAGGACAGCACAGTCTACAGCTCAATTTAGCACAAACATCCTGAATTAGAAACTCTCACCAAACAGAAGCCAGTTTCTACCAATAAGCATGGGTTTGGAGGCTCACTGGGTTCCATGGCCTCAGCTGATCTACAAAGTGGCTGGTGTGTATGCTGAGAGGCTAAGAGCATGTCCACCAACCCCATCACAGCTCCTGCTCTGCTGGAGCGGAGACATGACAGTTACTTTAATGAAAGAAACAAACGGCCAAATGAAATAACTCGCTAGTGGACAGTAGAAAAATTCCTCTAACACATACACATCAAACACACACACACACACACACACACACACACACACACACACAGAGTATGTGCTGGTTTACATACACAGAACAAAGCATGCTGCATTTTAATTATTGGTTCAATAGTGATCATTATGAACAATGCAGAACACCATCAAGCAGTCAGTGTCCTTAGAAACTAAATCTAAATTGGGTAGGATACCAGAGTACTGCCCTAGAAGAGGAGGGGCTTGATCTTGCTCTTCTGTTGGGGAATGTTGGACTTGCTAGAAGCTATCCAGACATGGTGATCTCCAATAGAACCAAACACAGGCCCTGGGGACACTGACTGACATCTCACAGGACCAAACTCAGGCCCTGGGGACACTGCCTGACATCTCACAGGACCAAACATAGCCCTTCCAGACACTAACTGACATCTCATAGGACCTAACACAGGCTCTGGAGACACTGACTGACATCTGCTTACCATGAGAAAAACAAAGGAAAACCAAGAAATCAAATGTCTCTTTAAAGCCAAAGTGCAGTTATGTATATATTTCTTAACTATTGGCTTCCTTCTATTTAGTAAAAAAAAAAAATGCCCCTTCTTCCTTGGTTATGGATTCCAATTTGCTCCAGGAAGTATGAGCGTTGTCCCTAAAAATTAAAAGCTAAACAAACCCTGGCTTTTCAACCTCAAGAGCCTATTAGATGATCCAATTATGCTCACTAAGAACAAACAAATATCTGAGGGAAAGCTCTTGCTTTCCTCATTTAGAAAGACAATTTAGAAAGGTCCTTTCCCCTTCTTTCTTCCCTGACTCTCCTCTCCATTCCTCCTGTTTTGGAAGAAACATGATGAAACTATAGAAACGATCATGTATCCAAGAGGCAACACACTGACAAAGTAACCAAATAAAAGTGGAGTTGGTGTTGATATGGACTGCTGACCATAAGTCACCATGTATTCACTCCCAGATGCGTTGTTTGAGAAAACTAAACTAATGCAGGTGTTTAAGCCACTGTTGTGTTGAAGGATCAAAAATTAAAATTAGTAAAAGTTTAAAAACTTGGGCCCTGAAAAGGGAACTTCTAATGACCGGGAATGCCATGGTTGGGGCCTGGGCCCTGCTCTCAGAGAAGGGGAGGTGACCTTCTACCACTTGGGTCAAAATTCCTATGTCTGCTAATTGCTGGTCATAAGCTTGTAAAGATTCCACAGCCCAGGGGATAACTCACAGACACTGTGACCCCGTAATCCTGCAACCCTTTGCCCTGTCTTATCTTACTCAAATGTATCTTGCTTAAAATACATAGTTACTCCTTTACTCTGTAATTTGTATGACCTTAAGTAGTCATGGAAACTCTGAAATTTGTGGCCTTCAACTTTATGGTCTGCCCTTTTAAAAGCTTCTCTTTTTGGGTGGTTGGCACCTCATGTCCCTGCCATGGAGTGAGATCCAAGCTGGCCAACTTGAACAATAAAAAAGAAACCTTTTGTGTTTGCATTGGAATTGTTGGCTCCTTGGGTTGGTCTCTTGGGCTCTGTGAACCTGGCACAACAGTGTGAGCACTGTTATGATCAACCCTTTTCCTAAGCTATGCACTCCTTGAGCACCTGCCCCAGGTGGACAAGAGGACAGGGAAGGGTCAGGGTGTTAATAGAGTAGAGTGACTCCAGTAGGATTGCAAGTAGCTCACTCATATGCACAGAATGCCGACCAATAACTCTCTGTCACATCACCCTCACCTTCTCGGTCATTCACACATACATTTTCTGTGGACAGTTCCTTCTTTGGTGAAATGTACAGAAATGGAGTGGTTAGAAATGTTCCCAAGTAAGAGTAGAACAATGCAAAGGCCAAGAGAGGGATTATGTGAAAACTGCTCCTTGAGTGCAGACTGATCTTTTAAACTGAGAACTTTTAGATGGTTTCCTCAGAGGTGGGCCCAAGCCTCCCTTGTCACCAACTGCTCTTCCCACCACAACCAGGGGCTGCAGGTATTTTAGGAGACTTTAAAAAAGACACTCCACAGAAGGACCCAAGAACCACTGGAATGAGACCTCGAACATAAAAAGTAGAACATTTAAAAAATACTCCTTTAGTAACTATTTTTCATGCTCTTGTGTTTATTCTAAAACAAACAATCTCCAGTACGCTGAAAAGAAAAATGAAGAGCACTGGGGCAAACAAAAGAGGAGAAAAGTGGGTGTGCTCAATCGATATGCCGTCTTCCCTAGAAGAGGAGCTGGGCGCAGGGTCAATGGTATTTTATAGACTAGAGTGCCCTTGTACTCAAATTCACACCCTGATGTCCTAAACCCAAGCGTGACTGTATTTGTATAGGGTCTTTAAGGAGGGGCTTACAGTTAAATGAGAGTCACCCTAGTCTAACTGAGCTGGCTTTCTTATACAAGAAAACACCCCAGGGGGCAGGGAGAGGGAGGGGGAGGCACAGGAGCAGAAGCGAGGTCATGTGAGGACACAAGAAGACCATGTCTGCAAGCAAGGAAGAGGCTTTGCCAGGACCCACCCCCACCAGCATGGCCTTGGAATGCTGTCCTCCAATACTGTGAAGATTTCCTTCCTGCGGTTCAAGCCAGCCAGGCACAGTCTTGGGGCACAGCAGTCCAGGCTGACCAGAGAACCTCCAGGGGTGGTGCACTGCAGGGTGTGTGACTCATGGAGCGCAGCCCATCTCTCCCTGCTGGAGAGCGCCACCCAACGGACCCCCTTCGTATTCATCTACTCAATAAACTTTTACACTTTGCCTATTTTGTGGATTGAAAACCAAGTTAGAAATTAAGTCTAATTGCAATTTAGAGTAAGGGGTCTTCTCTTTAGGAAGAGGTGGGAATTTCATAATATTTTTGATTTCTAAAGGGAGCCAAGACCTTAAACATGGAGTTCACCTGAATGAGCTAAGACCCTGAACCTGGAGAAGGAAAGAGAGGGGATCTGGGAGGAGTTGGGAGAGGGAAATGAATATGATCAAATATTTTGTTTGAAATTCTCGGAGAATAAATGAAAGCATCACTAAAATAAAAAGTGAAGAAGAAAAAGCAGCTCCTTCTTGCCTTTAGTTAGTACGGATTTTGAACCTCTGCTGCTGATGTGACTGTTGATGACTGAAGAGCCAGGGGAGGAGTGAATGGACAGACTTGGTGTGTGTGCTGGCTCTTCAGTCGTCAACAGCACGGAGAATATGGAGCGATTAATGGGAACTGCAGCTCGACGTGCAGAGTGAAAATAGCTTATGGGTGTGGGAGGGAGGGTGGAGAGATGACTTAGTAGCTAAGAGCGCTTGTTGCTCTTAACAGCAAAGGTACACATCCAGGTGAGAGAATGAGGCTGCTGAGCAGCAAGCCCAAAGGTGAGGCAGGAGTTTTCTCAACCCCTGGCTTTGTTCTGCAGCATTTAATACCTCCAGAGTCATGGAGAACCAAGGACGCGGACGGACTTCCCCTCTGAACTTGCACCTTCCCCAAAGTGGTAGGAACAGCTTGCTGTACTGGGGTAGCCTCATCCCTTCATAGTTTCACTATTCAAATATTTGCCAAAATGACAAAACCAGACTCCATAGCTTCCACGTGCGGGGATGAACCTTGGCTCTGGAGATAGGGCCCTGCATGGCCAGGGAGGGAAACATGCATGCGTCTGGCCTGACTATGAAGACAGTATAGTAAAGTGGCTTGATAGAGGCCCCCTGCTAGACGTAGAAATCCCTGGTATGGTGACCTGCCTTCACTTGGCATGCTAACAGAGGCTTGCTCAGGGCTGCCTGGTGTGCTACCAAGCACTGCTTAGGAAACAGCCCAGTGGCAATGGAGGGAGGCTGGCAACAGCCCCTAGAAATGGGCAGAGCCCTCGATGCCCAAGCAACATGAACACTCAAAGGAGGAGCGCTGATTTCTCTACATAATTAAGAGTTCTTGAAGATGGCGAGGACTCACTTGCTTGCTTATTCTAGTGTTGGTTTTAAATGTATTTCCTGTGACACCTGGCACACCACCTGGCGTCCTTATCAAATAGAAGGCAAATTCCTGGGCCCCATCTGAAGTGCTCTGAATCGGCATCAGTGGAGAAAGGATGTGCATTTTCAGCATCCTGAAGCAACGCTGATGCAGCATAATGAACGCCTGAGGCTCACTGCTTTAAAGAGAGAGTTCAGTGCACAGGGATCCCTTTCACTTCAGTTGTACATGTTTCCACAGCATTCTGAAGAAAACCTCTTGTGTAAACATCCTTTTCAAGCCCCGGTCATGAGCTTACTTTGTTCAGAGAAATGAACTGAGACAGGGCAGAGCGCGTGATAGGCACTTCCTATCAACTGATCCATTTATTCACAAGATGCAAGTGCTGGGCCCTGGGTGCCTTCCATGGAAGTATCTCCCTGTCTGCAAAGCTGAAGGAGAAACTTTCTGGAATACTCCTTACCTGTGAAGAGGGCATGGTAGTGGAGGCCCTTCTCCTTGTCCTGGTGGGAGCAGACATCAAACAAGTAGGCTTTGATAGGCCCATCAATGAAGTCAGCAGAAAAATCGAAGAGAACCACACCTATCATGGTGATAGTTACGGCCCACACCAACTTCCTCCTTGGGTTTGCAACCAAAGCTGAAACAGAAACAGACATCGGTCATCTAAAGCATCATTAGAACAACCCACATATTTTTATTTCACTTAACCTGCCATCAAATCATCCCTTTTCGGTTATGTGGTTTTGTTTTTACATCTTAAAAATGGTGCATTTTTTCATGTTTAAGAAAGTATGCAACCTGAATGCCCAGAAAAGACAAATCTATAGGCAGAAAGTAAATTAGTGATTTCCTAGTATCTGGTGCCTAGGAGGAAGCAGGGAGTGACTTCCAGTGGGAAGTGGGTTTTTTGGGGAGGGACATGAAAATATCCCTTAAGTCCACAGTGGTGATGGTTGCTCCATCTTGTGACTATTCTTAAAAGCACTGGGTTATATATACCTTATCTGAGTACTCTGGGATTTTAATGGCATCTCTGTATATTAGAAATAACAATGATGTGAAATAAACCAGCTATGGTCACTCTGTGAGGCCCCCCTTTTAGTACATGCAGACCCACTGTTGCACAGAGGTGCCGCAACACAGGGCTTCTCAAACTCTGGAGTGCCTGACTGCCATCTGAACGCTTTGTCAAAACACAGATGGCTGGCCCCATTTCCCAAGACTCTGGGTTGGCAGGTCTAAGGTGGGGAGTATGACCATTTGTAGCCTCTTGATAGCCCCTCTATAGCTGCTTGATATACAGTTTTGAATGACCCAGGAAAATGAGATCATCCTCAACCAACTCTCCCCAGATCCTTCAGTTGGTTAAGAAAGCCACTGCAGTATACTTAACACTTAAGTGGGATCCATTCTATCCATATGCTCATTCACCAAATCTGCCAAGAGGGATATACTGTTGTGTCCCTTGCTAATGTTTTGTTAACCTAAAGATAGTGTAGTGTGCAATATAAAAACTTATTTGAAACATTCCAGGATAAAAGTAAGTGAATAATAAATTTACCCTCTCTTTCTTATGTCCAGTACCTATCTTAAATTCCCTAGTCATATCCTACATTTCCATATTTCTACATCCTTTTAAATTAGCGGTTCACAACCTGTGGGGCACGACCCTTTTGGGGAGATCACATGTCAGATATTCTGCATGTCAGACATTCACATTGTGATTCATAACTGTAGCAAAATTACATTTATTAAAATAGCAATGAAATAATTTTATGGTTGTGGTTTCAGCACAACGTGAGGAACTGTGTTTAAGGATCACAGCATTAGGAAGGTTGGGAACCACTGTTCTAAACATATGCAAATATTACCTGCTTATCTCACATCACAACCACTCAATCTACTGGCATAAATGGTCTAAAAATATGTGCCTCTTCATGATCTCTCTTTCAGTGTACTGCCCCAAGCACTTAGGAATTAGGAGCTGGTCTGTCACTAGAAATATTGCTCTGAGACCAAATTTGTTTCCCAGAATTCACAATACAAAGATGTCTCCAGAGCTGACAGTCCTGTGCCCTGTAGCAACGTTACACACCATTATTAACCCTTATTTGTACACAGCAGGTGGTTTGTTACAAATGCTTATAGCTGGATAATTTGACAAAGTATTCCATGAGGCATAATATGTTCAAAAAGCCTTCATGTGGAAAAAAAGTAAGAGTATTTAATTTGGCAAAATGGATAAAAATTCAATCCATTTAAAAATCTTGTGATAAAAAAGACAACTTTGTGATGTTTCTAGAAGCAAAGGCTCCTCAACCACAGGTTTGGGGGATCATTCAAAGGCAAAGGAAGTGTTCTGCTACTGCACGCAAGGAGAGACCATTGATTGTAGCCAGTCTCTGACAGGCATTTAAAAGAGATACTAATGACATTTTACCCTACCAGTTAACTATTAGGCCAGTGCACTCCACTTACCTGATACAACAGCATCTCCATTGAGGTACAGGGCCATCCCCAAGAGCATCATGATGCCCAGTGCCAGGATGTAGGGTCTCCGGCGGCCCCACCTGGCCCTGCAGTGATCACTGACTGATCCCACCACAGGCTGCAGCAGGAATCCCAAGATGGGGCTGAGGAGCCACACCATGCTGTACAAACTCTTGGGCAGACCCAAGCTGAGTAGAACTGGAGTCACATAAGCTGCCTCCACTGCCAGGCAAAATTCTCGGCCAAACATGGCCATGCTGTGCATGATGAGTCTCCCCGTGGATCTCTTGGGCTGCTCCACGGGACCAAAGGGGCAATCCTCCGATAGTGACTGATAGGTATGGGTGTCAGCCGGCCCATTGCTGCCACTCATGACCACAGAGAGAATAACCTTCCTGAGTGGTCCTCAGGTCTGTGCTCCAAACTGCATCTGACATGGACCCTGTCTGAGCAGAGATGGGCAGGCTGGAGGAGGGGCTGGAATTCTTTCATGCCTCCAAGATCACAAGTTATGATGAGAAGCAAAGGGGGTGTTGGCACTTGGAAGCGTGACAGAGATTAGCTGTTGTGAGCCCTCTGGCTCCTTGGAATGCTGCTGTTTCTCTAAAGACCCGCCCCCCCACAACTGTACACATTGCTTCCACAGTTTTCAAATCATAGTCTGCTATAGAAAGACTAAATAAAAATGTAAATAACCTAATAATTTCTATAGGTCTGGATATTCTCTTTTCCTGAACTTACATTTTCTACACACAGATGAAAAGACAAATTAGCTAGATTTAAAACAGCATGGGGAGGAGGGTCTCTCACTCTTCACCCAAATCATTAACTGCACATAATGCCTGAACTGTTCTCACATTGTACTCAGTACATTTTCAAATGAGATAGTTCAGGGTTTGTTATATCCTTAATTATACCCTTTGATTAGCCTTGATCTTCAGGAGAGATCAGGTTGATTTATGGCATCCCCAGTATGTAGGTTGCCTGGTCTCCCAAAATATTTGCTAATACATACAAGTTGAATGAATGAAATATGTAGAGTCTATGTTTGGTGCCAGTCACTGCCTACTTTGCCTAGATCTTACAGGACTACATTTCCCAGGCTCCCTTGTTCTCTGGCTTCTAGGTATATTTCATCAACAGCAAGTATTGGTGAAAAGCCAGGAAGGAAGAGAAAACAAATAAAACACAGTTTTCTTCATCCCCAGGTATTGTTTGCATTGACTGCATGTTCACTGTGAACCTACCTTCTATCAGCTACAATGGACTGCTGGGTTTCCTTAACTCCCCATAGCTAATCTGCAGCCCTAGGTGTGACCCTGGCTTCTTGATTCTGCTCATGTCTGAACAGCCTCACTATCTCTGCTCTTTATGGCCAATGTAATCCTCTAATTAAATTTACTGTTTGAAACACTTCAAGTGTTTAACTTCAACACATTTTCCTTACTGGACCTAATAAAAATCATTGGTAGTGCCGGGCAAAGGTGGCGCACGCCTTTAATCCCAGCACTAGGGAGGCAGAGGCAGGCGGATCTCTGTGAGTTCGAGGCCAGCTTGGTCTACAGAGCGAGTTCCAGGAGAGCCTCCAAAACAATACAGAGAAATCCTGTCTCGAAAAACCAAAAAAAAAAATCATTGGTAGGAAAACTATCTCAGAAGTTGTTAAAAACGATTCGAGAACAAGGTATGGAGTCCGAATCTTAGAAGTTTCAATTCTTGGTATGCCTCCTCTATGCACTTCCCTAGGCAGATCCTAATTTGATGTTTCTCAAACTGTGTGCCAAGGTACCCAGATATTGCACGGAACTCACTGGCGTTATCCCAGAACATTTAAATTTTGAAATCAAGTCAACAGTGCAACTCAACATTTTGGCAGCAAAGTTGAGGTAACTCAAACTTTCAAGGTAAGATTGCACAATAATCCCTTTAGTTTCATTTCTGTGAAGATGGGTTTCCAGGTTGCCCAGTCACTGTGATTCCAGGAAAGGGGAAGCCATGTAGTAACAGGCACATGTATCCTGCTAGTAAGTTACTCACTTGTAATAATGTTTTTCAAACAGATGGTGAGTTCTTAGGGTATGGCATTTAAGTTCCTTGGACTTGATTCCCTAGAGCTGGAATGATTGGGGTTTGTTTGTTGTTTGGTTGGTTGGTTAAGGAGTACCACACAGGTTTCTAGGACATTAGTAAGTGAACTAAGATGGTTAAGGACTTTTGCATATGTTTTTGTCATCTGAAAAACAAGGAAAGCTGCTCTCCTGATTCCCTTGGGACTACGGAAGAACAGCTGACATGCTGTATATGACAGCTCTTGTTGTCGTCTGTCTACCCAACATCCGTTCTCCATTTTGATGGAACTTAGGTTAGATTCTGGAACCCACATGTCCCCCTCATACCTAAGTGTGTCAGGAAGGTAAGGTCATGGATGCTCCATGACCTTGTTATCAAAGGATTCTCTTACTGTGTCTATCAAACATTGGTGTAAGAATGGCACTGATTTCATTGGTCCCGGGACAAAGGACAAGGTTACTTAAGGCTTCCTGGGACCTTTTCTACAAGGATGTCACTATGTGTAGATCCAGAATTTACTACCAGTCTAAGGTGATCTATACATAAGAGGCTAGAAAACCTAGAGAATGGAAAATTGCAGAGAAATAAGGGCAGAGGGACTCCATGGGGTCAACCCTAACACTCCATATCCCTCAGGACTCAGGGTTGTAAGTCAAAGCATACCCTTTTTTGTAAATAGTATTTCTTGAAGCAGAAAGCACCTGGCTTCATGTAGAAGAATTTGTAAATGATAAGATGCAACGTCATTGTTACTGAAGCCTGAGACTATAGTTGGAAGGAGGACATGGACACAGATATGTGTCTGGATGCAGCAGTCACCTGTTTCGTGTGATTTGTCCTTACAATTGTGACATCTCATTACTTCCAATATGGCACCATCAAGAGTGAAAATATATATTGAAGGATGTGTTCAAGAATATAATTCCTCTTTCTTTAGATTTTCCTATATGCAGTTGCCTGCTTCTTTTCTACCCTTCTCAAGGCTCATGCCTTCTCCTCTCTGACCACATTCTTAGATGTAAATCTTCAGTTTCTCAGAGAACTTTCTTAAAAAGAGGAAGTATAGAATTTTCTTGTCTGAGATCTCTAGAAAAAGGGAGGCACACAACACTAACATGCTACTAACCTTACTTAATACATTTATTCTTCAAGTTCACAACCTACCAAAAATAACTTCTCATTTACTTTGTGTGATCACTTAAACTCAGAATCCAATGTCTAAGTTAGCTCATCTGATGGGTCATAGATTTTTAGCCAATTTGCATTTATCTTTTCCCTAACCGCTCTACTGAAGAGATTTTTTTTTCTGAAAACATATTGTAACAGAAACCATGATTTTAAAAAAAGACTTGCTTGCCTCATATATCTTAGAACAATGCCACTTGTAATGGTTAATCTTTTTTTTTATGTGTGTGTTTTTCCTGCAAATATGTCTGTGCACCACACATGTGCCTGGTGATGATGGAAGCCACAAAAGGGTGGTGGATCCCCTTGACCTTGAAATAGACTGTTGTGGGCTATCATGTGGGTGAGGGATCTTCTGGAAGAGCAGCCAGTACTCTTTACCTTTCTCCAGCCCAGGGATTGTTAATCTTGATTGCCAACAGGACCGCATTTAGAAGCCACAGGAGACCAGGGAAGCTATCCTGTGGGTGTGATGGTGAGGGCATTACCTATGGCATTAGCTTATGAGGACTCTCACCTGAATAGTTAATCCACTGACTGCCTGATAACACAGAGAGCCTCTGGGGAGGCGGGGAGCTGTGGGCATGGAGCTTGATTGGAGATGTTGGGTTGCTGGTGTGAGGGTGCCTCCGTTGGGGACTATTTCATGTCTTGACCCCCTCTATACTGTTGTCCCCATCTGCATCCTGCATGCCACAATCCTTGCCTTGATAGTCTGAAACCTCTGAAAATTAGCAAAAGTAAACCCTCCCTGATATTACATGTCTCAAGTACTGTGCTTACATTAGTAAAGCAAAAGCAACAGAAACTAAGCAAGGTGAAGCCTTTGAACTGTAAGACTTTCACTTGGATGCTTGATAGAAATGCATGTGTGTAGGTATCATCGTTGGCCCACTGTATCAACTTTCTGGAAGAAGGACCCAGAGTCTGTGTTGGCAGACTCCATAAATTGTGTTTTTGAATTAGATATAAACATTACAGCCATTAACCCAGAAGCTGATGGCTTAGTGAAGAACTTGTAAACCATAATAAAAAGTAATTCCTATCTTTGGACTTATAAACAGAGTACAATGGGAATATAGCAAGGGCCCTAACAGACAGAATAAACAACTCCTGAGCTTTTACAATATGTCAGGAACTTTCAAAGAACTGAATTAAACATCATATGGGAGAGTGAAATTTGAACACATGACCTTTCTGACATTATAGTTCATAGTTACTGTACAAAAGCATCCTAGGGTTGAGAAGGGCAGAAAGTTTGACAAAGAAAGCTGCATTTGAGTCAACATGAGTCTGCTAACCAAGTGGCAGGAACAAAAAGTGTATTGTTAATGCTGGAAAATGATATGGAACATAGAAGAATGGAAGCAAGAGATACCATAACATGTGAGCATTTCAGGTAGTCCATACAAAGGGCTGCAGAGCAGGGACTGAGGATGCGATTGGTGATCTAGGTAGTTTTCCTGTTATTGCTGATTATTATTATTAAAGTTATGTTTTGTCCCATAGAAGAAAAATGCACTATTGCAAAATTTTGCAGGAATAAAAATGGTAGGCTTACATAAAAAAACCACAGAAATAAAAGTAAAGTAGTGGTATTACAAGTGAAGACAAATAGAGAAATAGTAGTCACCTGTTGGGAGGAAGTTGTGTTGAGATGGGTGTTATGGAGGGAAATATGGCATAAATATGATCAAGATACATTGTATGTACAAATACAAATTTCAAAAATCAATACTTTTTTAATGGAAAAGAACATTAAGAGATCAGAGGTTAGGTTCCTATAAAAATGTAGACTCCAGCACTGGGCAGGGAAAACCATGACTCTTTGACCCAAGGCTAAGGCAGACAAAACCATTAGCATCTTTAAGCTGTAATAGAGACGTCCAAAGAAGAGATGTTCACTTTGCTCCTGGAGGTCATCCTAGCTGTCAGTCATGACTCTCAATGATGTGCAGCTCAGCATTAGGACATCTTCTTCGCACTGGTTGTTCTCCATGCTGCCCGTGGAATACCTCCTGACTTACTTATTTGCTTAATTAAAGCTGCTTATTGTGATTTTAGAGAGCATAAGCAGAAGGACTTCTGGGGCAGATGGAGACAGGATCAGTACAGAGGCAGACATTGGTGGGAGGAGCTTAGCAGACTTTCATTGGATACAGGACAGTTAACTGCCAGGTGATGGAGAACAGGCCACTAGGCTACTCACACACAGTCTAGAATTCAGTACACTGATCTGAAGCAGGGTTTTATGAAAAAAACTTCAGGACTGTTTCCTAATACCTGAGTTCAAAGACAAGGAGTGAATGAAATAGTGTTCAACTATTTTAAGGGCTATGCAATATTGTTAACAGTAGTGCTCAAATATTCCAATGCATCAGAAAATGCTATTAAATGGAATTTAAGGGGCCTTCTAGAATGCTTTTACAACTGAAAAATACTATTTGCTTCCAGGAGGGGGGTGGAAACTTTATTTATTAAAATTACATCACTTTATTTAAAATATATCATCTCTATATTTATATAAGGGCTTTAATATCAATGAATACATGTTATCAAGTGAACTGAAAGGCAGAAAGACTGTGACAAGTTAATATCAGTGCACACATAAAAATATTCCTCAATCAGAGGCTTGGAAGAGCAGATTCAGAATGCAATCATTACTCTGCAATCAGTCTTTGGTTGTGTCTCGATTGGAATGCTTGGATCACGTCATTACTGCTCATCCACATTTCCATACATACCATCGTGGGTGTCATCCTCCAGTGTAAATGCCGCCTTCAGCTTCCTTGAGTCGTGAGAGTCAGAGGTTGGCTTTTGGCTTACTACCCTCAATGACTCCCTCTGAGAGCAGCTGATATATCTCTTCTTGACTGAACCCAAATTCTTTAAGAACCTCTTCGGTGTGCTCTCCTACATAAGCATCCCTTTTCAGAGAAGGGGTGGCTGGGGTTCTGGACAGCTGAGGCGCAGGACGGGGGCTTGCATGCTGCTCCTCGTCAGTGATAAATGAGGCCCGTTCCCTGCTGTGACTGTGGTGGAGGGCCTCCTCAAGGGTCAGCACTGGGGTCACACATGCATCTGTCCCATCAAAGATCTGGCACCACTCTGCCTTGGTCTTCTTTGCAAACACATCTGCAAATTTCTTCTTCATTTCCGGCCAATCAGCTATGCTCATCTGGGTGGGGAGTTCATCAGACTTGAGTCCAAGTCCTGAGAGGGAAATGTAGTGTCTTTGGTTATTACACTTTGAGAGGAGTAACTATAATCAATGAAGAGTTCGCTATGACAACCTTAATCAGGCTTTCTCAAATGAGTGGCAAGAGAAAAATTCTCCACTTTGAAGCTGGAGCCAATGACTGCAAAAGGCAGGGATAGTCATAGTGACACAACTCAAAACAAGCTTGACACTGTCAAGAGGCTTTTTTGGTTTTAGGGTTTTTTGTTTGCTTGTTTGTTTTTTACTGACATTTCAGGAAAGAGAGTCTGTTTTCAATGATCTCGTTTCCAGAAATTGATTTCTTTCCTGAGTTGGTTTTCAAAATGAAATTTCTTCAGGATGGCATTATCTGTCTAGTTGAATTAAAATAACCTCATACTTTATATAATATGCTCAAACACTAAAAATAAATTTTATTTGTTATACCTGACTATCACTGCTGTCAAGAATGGAACCTCAGGGTAAGTGGTGAAGCTCAGGGCTGTAGCTTTTTAATATTAATAATCTTCTTTTCTCTTTACTTGACAAATTAAAAGCTCAAAGGCCTTTAAGGTACCCAAAGTCTAGGTGAAGACTTTCAGGCCTCACATTATTTCTCATTGTCAATGTTCAATAAGTTATATGGAATATTCACAGCTTATTGTAGAGGATTTTCCCAACTGTAGTCTAATATAATAGACTACACATTATTAATGTTCAGAGCACATTAAGCTATGCTGTTCGGCAGATGTGTGAGATGCATTCTCAGAGAGTAGATGAAAATACTCACATTCAACTGCTCGTGAGTTTATCTGGATATAACGCTGTCCCAAATGGAAGGGCATCTGTGTAGCAAAGGGCCACTTTACAGGTGACTGGTATAAATGTCACTTTTCCTCTATTACGAAAGGGGATTTCTTGCCTAGACTGACTGTTGTTGTATAATCTGGACATGCAGGACCCACAGAAAAGTGACTGCTGAACTCAGTCTTACAGGGTTCCTGCTTCATGGAAGAGTCTACCAGACTTTCTACAGGACACAGAAAAATGACTGACAGATTGCCAATGCAGATGGACAGTTTGAAATTTCCTGCTTTGCTGAGAAGTGTTCCAGACACATTGTGGCCTATGGGCTGAAGATGGATGCCCCAACGTTACAGAGGAACTTCGGGTGACTGTCCAGGCAGTAAGATATCTCTGTCAATCCTAGTGCTTATATATTATCCTTCTGTGGTCTTTGATGGAGTTGAAGGCAGATAGTTATAATTATAGTTTTCCTTAGTTATGATAAGAGATAAGCTACATATAGGACTTTGGACTCACAAGAAAGAGATAGATGATATTTTCTTTAAATCTTACTAAATGTTAATAGACAAAATGCTGTAACTGTATTCTTACTTGATAACTGTTCTGTTATATATGATTTGACTATGTTAAAGTTAAGACCTTTCTTTTTGTTTAAACAGAAAAGAGGAGATGTTGGGGAAGTACTGTTATTTGCCTGTTATTTGTCAATAAAGCACTGTCTGGCCTATAGGGTATCTAGATAGGTGGGACTAGGAGTCCAGGAGGACTCTGGGAAGGAGAAACACAGGAGTTCGAGATGTAACGCCATGGGGTAGGAAGCCCGGAACCATTCTCCGGTAAGAGAAATACTTAGATTAACAATTATGGGGTAATTACTTAAGTCAGAGGTAGCCAGTAAGAAACAAGCAAGGCCAACAGCTTCATAATTAATATAGCCTCCTGTGTGTTTATTTGGGACTGATGCGGCTCTAGAACCAGGCTGGCGGGAAGGCTTCTCTCAAGGAAAAAGCTTCCTTTAACAGGGATTCTATAATATGAATGGTTAAGAGTACAATGATCAAAAGTTTTTAACGAGAAAACTTTTGGAGTTCCTAGAGGATTTTGAAGGCTGTATAGTGTATACATGCACACTTTCAGGAGTGCACACATACCTAAAAGACATCTACAAGAGGCCTGGATTGCTTATCTCAGAGGCACTGTATAAGTGAGGAGGCATAAAATGTCTCACAAAAGGATGAAAGACTCACTGGATCAAGACATTACAGAATGTGTTTGCCCAGCTGAGCACTAAGCAAACTGGGCAAATGTCAGTGGTTACCACACCAAGGAACACAGATTTAGTTGATGAAAATCATTATAAACAAACAAACCTGCAGAGAACTCAGTTATTTACTCTGAGGAACAGAATACCACATTAATAAGGAGAAATTAACAGTGCCTCATAGACTTCTAAGACACCATCAAATATATTTACAAATCATTAAGGGAGTCATAAAAATACAGGCGAGAAAGATCTGAAAAAGTTATTTAATAAATATCTAAAAAGTTCCAAAATGTGATGAAAAACCTTAATCCACATGTGTAAGAAACTACTTGGTCAAAAGAGGAGTTCAAACTACAGAGCATCACTGGGATCACAGATGTAAACAAAGCAAGGCATGGAGCTATGTAGATGGACTGGTGGGAAACTTAATATGGCCAAGATGGCAACATCCCTCAGATGAGGGCATACAATCAACACAACCCCACTCAAAATCTCAGCTATGGGTTGGAGAGATGGCTCAGAGGTACAGTGTTGCCACAGAAGGAAGAAGGTCTATTTTCAAATCCCTGGAACTCAAATAAAGCTGGGGGTAGTGATCTGTGTCTAATCTAAGAGTTCCTACAATGAGATGGGAGGCAGAGGCCAGAGATTCCCTAGAAGCCCATGGGCCAGCCACCCTGGCATACACAGCAGCAAACAATGAAAGAGGCCCTGTCTCAGCAAGATGTAAGGCAAGGACTGGCCCCCAAGTTTGTCCTCTGAAATCCTCACAAGTGCTGTGGTATGCCAATGCCCATACTATCGCACACAAATGCATACACATACACATATCATACACACAAGCACCTTTTAAAAAAATCAAAGATACCTTGTTTGCTGAAACTGACAAACTGATTGTAAAATTTACCCAGAAATCCAAGGAAATTCTAACAACCAAGACAATGCTGAAGAAGAACATATACTTCCCAGTTTCAAACTTGCTACAGTAATCAAGACACAGTGACATAAAGACAGACAATGCAACAGAATTGAAGGCTGAGGTTATAGCTCAGTGGTAGAGTTGTCTCCTACCATGTGGGAGGACCTACACTCAATCCCTAGTACCGTCAAAAGAAAAAAAGAGAAACAAACCTGTACATGTATGGTGAACTGATTTCAAGAAGGATGCAAATATTATCCTACACAGGAAGAACTGCCTTTTCAATTAATGGTACTGGGAAAACTGGAGATCCCAATACAAAAAAAAAAATAGAGCTAAATCCTACATACATATTAATCTGTCTTTATCAAATTTCTCCCCTCTGGGGTCAGGGATCTATGCTAAAGATGAGGCAGAAAGATTGTAAGAGCCAGAGGGAACTGATGTCTCCAGGGAAACAGTATCTTTCAGATACAGCTGGGGTGACGACATGTAAACTCACAGAGACTGTGACAGCAGGCACAAGACCTACACAAATTAGAGCCAGACAAAATCCCAGCACTGAGAAGGGGAAGTGAACACAAATCCTACCCTTAACCAAGAAGGCAAATTTGTGATTGATGCCTGCGGGGAAATGGAAAATCAGTTTTCTCCAATGGAGTAACACTGGGTATATCAAATACACTACAGGGCAGGTCTCGTGTCCACAAGGGTAGTTGTCCAATACAAAACAAACGGTGTGTGTGTGTGTGTGTGTGTGTGTGTGTGTGTGTGTGTGTGTGTGTGTGTGTTGGTTTTTGTTAGTTTTGGTTTGTTTTTGAAACAAAAAGAACATAAAGTTGGTGGGAAGGGAGGTAGGGAGAAACTGGGAGGACTTGAGAGAGGGAAACAAATGTGATCAAATATAAACGTATTGTAAAAAAAATTCAAATAGCAAAGTAACATTTATTTTTTGGTTTTACGAGACAGGGTTTCTCTGTTTTGGAGGCTGTCAGTCCAGCCTGGCCTCGAACTCACAGAGATCCGCCTGCCTCTGCCTCCCGAGTGCTGGGATTAAAGGCGTGGGCCACCAACGCCCGGCTGCAAAGTAACTTTTAAGTAAGGAAAAAACCCTAAAAATGAAGTGGAGAGCAAATGAAGAAGATGCTGAATATCAACCCCTAGACTCCACACGCATTTACCTATGGAGCCAACTCTAGCCTGGAGGACTTTTGGCCTTCACATGAAGATCCCATTGTCTGTCTCTACTTCTGAGTTTCTGAGATAATAGTCATCTGCCACCATGGCCAGCTTTATTTCAGAGCCTATCTATAAAACCACTTAATTAGCTGTGGTTCAAACTTTAAACTAAAACATTTCACATAACAGAAAAATTCCAGTCCAATGATTTCACAAGGGAAGAAGCAATCCCAAATTCCCTCTAACTAGTGGTGGCATGCCATGCAGACAAAAATCACAATAAAGGTAAACTTCCAAGGTACCAAGTGACACTGACATTTTCTAGCTGAACTGTGCTCAGGTGACTTTACTACACCTTAGTACTACAGAGATGTCCATCAAGGAACAGGAGCCAAGAGAATCAACATATCTCTTTTAGGAAGAAAAAGGAATGTCTGGGTACATGGAGTAGGGTAAACAACCAAACAGTGTCATGAGCAATTGAAGTACCAGCTTTCCCACTAAGCCTATTGCTAATGTTTCCTAAGTTCTGAGTTACTTTGTAGAACAGTAAAATTATCTGTCAATTTAAAGGACAGGAAATGCCCCATGATATGTTGATGACTACAATTACACTAACTAGAAAGTTGAACTAAAAAAAAAAAAACAAATCATGGAATTCAAAAGATCTCAAAGTTGAGATTAAAGAGCTCACAGTAAAGACGGAACAAGACACTCAGAGCTGGTTACTGACCTTTGACCAGCAGCTTGTAGAACTGGGGTTCTATTGCGCCAACGGCCATGAACTCCCCATCTGCTGTCTTGTAGGTTGTATAGAAAGGTGACCCGCCATCTAACATATTTTGTCCTCGTGGCTGTTCCCACAGCCCCATGTGCTGAGTCTTCCACAGGAAAGAACTTAAGTATGCCGTTCCTTCCACCTGCGACGAGCAAGAGACTTTAAGGGGTCTTAAGGAAGAACGAAGGAAGGGCTAGTTAGGGTGTTTAATATTTATGTACCTGCCTGTTTTACAAGGCATGGCAAGTGTACATAACCACACAATTTCTATGGTACTTCTGCAAACTGAGGTAGAGAGGGTCTACGGGAGACTGCCACTGGTATCCTCTTCAAGTGGGGAAGTACTGTATGACTTAAAGGACCTACATTTGTCTTCCTTTCAAATACTGCCAAAGTGTTGATGATTTTTGAAGTCAGGTAACAGTGCATGAACACTCACTGAAGTATTCTCTCTACTTTGGTTTGTGTGTGAGTGCAAAGAGGTCAGAGGTCAATGTCAGGTGACTTTCTCCATTGCTTACTGACAGTCTCCTACTGAACCAGGAAATCATCAATGTAGATTGGCTAGCCAGGAAACCCCAACGATCTCCTGCCTCTGCTCCCCAGGTCTGGGATCTGCTGTGAATTTTTACATGGGTGTTGGCAGTCTGAACTCCGTTCCTCATGCTTGGACACCAGGTACTTTACCAACTGAGTCACATATGTTAAAAGCTGACTTTGAGTATCTACACACTTGATTTCATTGCTTGTGAGCGTGTGTGTGTGTGCGCGCACGCATGCACACACACACACACACACACACACATAGAGCCTGTAAGCACATTCACACAAACACACAAAGCATGCCACACTGTAAAGGGATATCATAAGCCTAGCTTATTCCAACTTCACTCCAGTCCTGTGATCTTTAATGATCACTGGTAGGTTACAAAATAAACATAATCATGTGGGTGGCAAACATTCAAGTTTCCTAAGTCCAAAAACATAAGTTTGGGACTACCACCCTCCCACCAACTCCCTAAGTAATCAAAGGGGATTCCATTACCCAGGTGTCATTATCACAGGGCTCCGAGTTGAAGCCGAGAGGACCTTACTTAGTAACTTCCCGTCCCTGAAGGTTTTGTTCTTCATTGCTGTGGTTGGGGCTTAGGGGGCAGTGGGGGAGTAGACGCAGGGCCTCGTGCATACTCAGCACTCTTTTCACTTTTAGCACTGGATAAGATCTCACTAAGTTGTTCGGGCTATCATGATTGTAGCCTGGTCACTGCTGTTATTCCCCTGCCTCAGCTTCCTGAGCAGCTGTGTTATCTGGCTCAATCGTCTAAAAGCTTTATAGTTCTAATGATTCCAGTGTCCAGGAAGAACCTTACCCTGAGGTTACCCACAGAGGATTCCTTACCGATAGTGAGCATGCAATTCCTCATCCACTGGCTGGAAAGCAAATGTAAAATATTTTTTGGATACAGCCCAATTTTCCCTTTCAGTTTAAAATCTCAGATGCACTTGAAGTCATGGCGATGACATCTGTCATGGACAAATGTAGCCACACTATAGCTAACTGATGGGGATTTCCTATGCTCATGTAACTGGCCTACATACTTTTGTTTGGGGGATCAGGTTAGCATTCTCATATTTGTATAAGGACATACAATGATTCACACATAGATATACATATATATATATATGCACATAAATATGTCACTGCTTTAAGTAAACTTGAATCCCGACAAACCAGAGATTGGGTCACATTCATTACTAAAGATTTTTCCCTCCCCGTTTGCATAAATTTGAGCTTGTTATTAAAATACTCTGAACGGAAAACTATTGTTCCAGTCAGATCTTAATTTGGGTTTGCTCATTCAAAATCCAACAAGTTAGTGGCCACTACAAAAAGGGCCTGCTTTTTCCTCAGGTCTCACACCTGACAGTTAGTGGAACACATAATAAGTAAGCTGGGTTACCATGAGGGTGAGGTGCCACCTCCTATGGAAGGTTCAGAATACTGACTATCTGACTTTCGGACTCAGGCCAAAGAGTGTGAAAAGTTTTCAGATTCCAGACTGAACCCTGCAACAAGGTCTTTTCACCGTGCTTCATCGTAAACGAGACCCTGAGCATCACAGGAGGCCACAGGAAGAGACCCAGTGCTAGCAATCCTCATCTCATCTTGGGGCTGAGCAATGACTACCCCAGCACACACCTCTCTTACTCTCTCTCACACACTATGCAAGCTGCCTAGGGAAGAGCCTATGGCACAGGAAAAGGGCAGCCCCGCCTTCCCACCGCTGTCATCATGAGGGCCAACAGCCTTCATGCAACTCACAACGCCAAGGTCGGGTGCAAACCCTACAGCGAGTAGATACAGCAAAATGGACCTTTTCTGCAGTTAACCTCAGTTTCTAGGGGACAGCATGGTGAGAACACAGGCTCCATCTCATTTCAAGCCTGCCAGGACAAGGATTCTGTTGCCAAACAGCAAGAAGCTACCAGCCTGTTGGGAAAAGACATCTGCCTCCCTTAGTCAGTGTCTACAAGGGCTTATGGGGCTAAGGAAGTGATAAATGAGGTTTACTGAATCCATTGGCTTGAGTCATTAACCAACAAGGATAATCCCCTGAGTATGAGCCCCAAGGAAGGTTTATACTTTCACATACACTCAGACTTACCATTGCCTAATAACTAGGTAAATCTAATTGGATACTAGCTACATTCTGATGAAAAGCAAAACCATCTTCTATTTACATTCAACTGTCAGCAATCAATTACACGTAGCAAACTATGATTCCTTACATGCTTGCTCCCAGCCCATTCCTCTTGGGTGGCATACACTGTGCCCGCAGTGGGCAGTAGAGGAAAGCTAATCAAAAGCCTGGCTTTGGGTTAAATGCTATGGCTTGGATCTTCCTAACCACCTCCTTTAAAAAACAATCTCTGGAGCCTTCAAACGTTCAATAGCCAATGGGAATGAGCCTAGCTATCTCCCTTAGGCTGTGTGGCTCACAAAAAGGTAGCCACATGGGAGCCAGGAACTCCATACTTGGTGATACAATGTGACCTTTTGCTGCTTTTGCTGTCTCGGGCTGAGGCTGTGCAATGACTAGACCAGGAGCCAGGGCTAAACCATAAAGCCCACATAGCACAAAGCATACAACAGAGGGACCAAAAGGATAAGGTGGGCCATGCCCCATGACAGAATCACTAGAAACAGGCATAGCACAGGGCTGGCAATAAGTCGCCCGAGGGGAGAAGAAAGCAGCCAAGCAAGGCTTCATGCAAAGAGGTATGGTGGGAGGTGGACTCTGTAAAGGTCACCCAGTGACCCAATCCAATTTACATAGTTCAGTCTTTAAAACCAGAGGTGGGAGGTGCCTGCAGGCCTTTGACCCTCTGGCTAATAGTCTTCTCTTGGCACTTCTCGACTTTGGTTTCCATGCTAACACTCCCTTCTTGTTCTAGGCTTATCCCTCTTCCACCCTGGCCTCTCCTCTTCTGCCTACCCACTCCCTACACATGAGCAGTCTGTGTCCTTCCCAGGGGACACAGAAGCTCACCTGGCTCCCGGTTTATTCCCAAATGACTATAAAATCTGCTACAGGTCCCTACTTGAGTATTCTCCCCTGGATACTGAAAAGCTACTTAAACTTTAACAAAACTAAATTCATTTTCCTTTAGAAAAAAAAAAGACTCATAACCACAAAGCCTTAGAGAGTCAAGTCACACCTCACAACGATGAACTAACTCCCTAACAGTTCTGACAAGTTGACGTTTTATTCATTTTACAGCTTTGATGGTTGTGAAGTGACCCTCCCAGATGACAGAGCAAGGAAACTGCCAAGCTGGGAGCTGTCAACCCGTGCCCCACTGCGTCATGCTGTCTTCCATCTTCAGTCTTCCCCTGGGAGCCAGCGATGCCCTCCTGCAGGTCACACAGGCCAGACTCTATCGCCATTATCACTTCTCCCTTCTTGGCACTTGTCAAGTCACAACAACGCCCACACAAACTCACATTATTATGCCTTTAATCCAGTCCCAGGCTAACATTAGTTGCTTTAGTAAGTGCCCTTAACCGCTCAGCAAAACCCAGTCAACTGGTCTCTCTGCTTCATTGTCTCTGTCAAATCCATTCTCTATTTGACCTCCAAAGTCAGCCCTGAGCTCTTACTGAAGAGCTGTCAGATCTCAGATTAGAGCCCAGGTATCATGACAAGGTACAAATCTCTCTCTTATATGGACTTTCACTTTCAATAGCCGCCATTTAAATTAACAGTGATCTTAAAATATTAACTAGAGAAATCCACAAGTAAGCTTTTATTTGTACATATTTTATACCGTTCTATTTTTAGTATTGTGTTAATGTCTTACTGTGTCTAATTTATATGTAGGTATATCTGGGGAAAATATAGTAATATAAAGTTTAGAATACCTTCAGTTTCATACACCCAGTGGGAATGTTGAAACACACCCCAGCAGAAGATGAGGGAATAGTGTACTCCTCTAGACTGAGGACAGAAATCACAGAGAAAGGGCCCCACAGGAGGAGGTGAGTGTTTATATACATGACAGTGAACACAGAGAAACATGAAACTGAAGCATCTCCTAGGAAATGCAGCAAGAGGTCTGGAGAGGAAGGCCCATCTTCCTAAGCATCTCTTAAGGACCGGCTCCACAGGCTAGGGACCACTTCTGAAGCTCAGTTTTGAAGGTTGATTACTTGGCAACTCTATTATAATCACAAAAGATAACTTGGAGGAAAATGTTGAAATACAACACAGGAATCAGGAGAGTTTTTAAAAGTTAAGAACATACCAGGAGATAGACACGGCATATGTCTGACAACCTTAGTTCAATTCCCACAGCTTCATGAAGGAGAGTACTGACTCTCACATGTTGTCTTCTGACCTCCAGATGCACTCTTACACAAACAAAATAAATGAATAAGGTTTAAAGTGCTGACTCCATAGGTGGCTTCAATATGGCATTCTAATGCATACAAAAGGGTGAGGCTATTTTAAAGAAAAAAGATCTCATCAGCCATGGTGGCACACATCTTTAATTCCTGCATAGAGGAGACAGAGGTGGGTGGATCTCCAAGAGTTCCAGGACAGCCACGGCTACATAGAGAGACCCAAGTCTCAAATAAAAAACAAACAAACAAACAAAAACTCTATAGTGACTTGAATTCAACTATTAAACCTTATGTATTTCTTGTCTTATTCAGAAAGCTTTGAGACAATCACACGTCATACAGCAGCCCAACCATGCCCACCCAGCACCCAATGAATACTCACCATGTTCGCATCGATGACCTGACCTTGGCCAGAACGTGTGCGTTCAAAGAGGGCAAGCACAATGCCCAGAGTGCACATGAGGCCACCACCACCAAAGTCAGCCAGGAGATTCAACGGTGGGTATGGGTTCTCACCACTTATGCCAATCTTGGACAGAACACCTGCACCGTGGACAACAAATTGAATGCCCCTTTTAAATAAACACATGAGCATCTTAGAGGGACAACCAATCTTTATAGTCACTGACCTAAGTGAAAATAGTGTACAGCACTCCTCAAATTCTGAACCTATTTAGCCTACTTACAAACAAGCTCTCCCTCAAGATAGGCTCCATTGGGTTTAACTTTTCCTCTCCACTAAATTTTCCTAAAGCCAGGTGGGGTGGCACACACCCATAATCCCAGCACTCAGAAGACTGAGGCAAGCAGGTCCAGATTTCTATTCCTGTGAAGTTTCCCCACAAAATAAATAAGATTTAAAAAATCATCCCAACCGACATTTTAAATATGTTATTAAAGTGTTCACTTTACTAAGTCTTAGAGAAAAAAATAATTACTGTCAAATTGTTTTCCTGGCTTTAAGGCAGTATAACACACTTTCATTTTTTGTTAAAAACAGATGTAGGAAAATAATCACATACAAATAGAAGAGGAGGTAAGTTTTGAAAAGATGTGAAAAGCCAGTTTTATACTAACTTTCCCCCTCAACCTTTGAATACCTTTTCACGGAAAGTAGATTTCTTTTCATCAGTAACACACACACTTCCTCAGCATAATATAGTCTTAAACATGTTCTCACAGGCAGATCCCAACAGAGTGTTAGTGAGACCTGAAAACTGTGGGCTTTTACGGAGTTCACAGAAGTGTGAAATGATGGCTCAAAATGATTCGTGGTGAGGGAACACCGGGATCAAACCAAATCAACCTTCCCAACACGTGGAGTGATCACCATCTTATTGCTCCTCACTCCTGAACACTGACCTCCCAACTGTAGTAGTGATTACTACCCATCAAATGAGTTGGGGGTAGGGAGGCAGGTAGGGGTTAACAATGCCAGTTCTAGGGACTCAAGTCATCCTGCTTTCATCAACCATGTTCTCGTGGCCAGTTCCAATACATATTTACATCTCTACATTTTAAACTTCTTGTTAACCAGGACTGGGGGAGAGAGAGATGACTCAGTCATTCACAGTGTGGGCTGCTCTTGCGGAGGACCCAAGTTTTGTTCCCAGCACCTATGATTCTACTTCCCAGTGATCCAGGACCCTCTTCTGGCCTCTAGAGGCACTCACATTCATATACCCACACACATACACATAATGAAAAATAATAAATATTTTAAACCCTTGTCAATCAACATAACAGTACTTACTAATGTAGGAGCCAATTCAAAGTGTTGTAGAAATGCATTTCCAACATACCTGACAAAGCCACATAGTTGATGTCATGGCCAGCTGCCTTGGAGAAACTTCCCGACTGGCCAAATCCACTCAGCCTGGCATAGACGAGCTTTGGATTGACCTTCAGTAGAGTTTCTGGCCCAAGCTGGAGTTTTTCCATGACACCTTTAGAGAAAAGTCATCAATTGTTTGGTGTTCTTTGTTTTTAAAGAGAGCACAAGTTGAAGATGGGGATAATTCCTTCTACTGGGAAAACTAAAAGTGCATTCTTGCAAGTAATACTATTTGTTGTGATTTTGGTGAAAGTTGTCATAATAAGTCATTGGAAAAACTACTTAACCACACTGAACCACCCTCCTTCTTCAAACAGGGCATTTTAACGTTATGATATAATCCTGAATGTTACCATTACTGTCCTCAGATATGCCTGTGAGGACTAAAAGTTACATATAAATATGCCTGGTGCCCCATTCCCATTCCATTCATTGACAAACTTCCTGGTTTCTTCGAGGCAATGTCAGTAAGGAACAAGAGTGGCTAAGTCAGTAATTGATGAAAACACAGACCCACGGGATGCTCTGGGCATTTTTAAACGGATGGAGACAGACTTGATGCAGGGTTTGTGACAGTTGAAAATGCCAACGGACAGCCAGATGGAGGTGTATGTCACCAAGCATGCAAGTCTACAGCTCGAAAACGGTGTCTGGTATAGAGCATGAAAACGGTGTCTTTGCTTGTGAAGCTGGGGTTTGGGAATACCGTCATTCAGAGAAAGGTTAGCACGGTCTGTGGATAGCGTTAGAGCATAGGCATACCAACATAACGAAGGGTCAGTGGCTACGTTCCAGTGTGAAGCTTCCCAATCTATTCTCTTGCACTGGATTCTCAGACGGTTCAATACCCCCAAATAATAAAGACAATTGTAGAAGAGTGCTGGGGGGTGGGGAGGAGGCGTGTCAAGCAAATTAAAAGCTTAAGGAATCAGGGAAGCTTGGAGTAACGCTGCAGGAGGGGCGGGCGATCGCGCGGCGCGGCTCACCGCAACGGAAGGGCTCCAGCAGCACGTCCACGCGTGCGCAAATGCGCCGCAACACCGTGGCTCCGCGCGGCTGCTTCAGGTCCAGCACCAGCGAGCGCTTGCCCCGGCCCAGGAGGCTCACGTCGCCCCCGGAGCCCGGCCGGTCCACACGCACCACCTGAGCTCCGAAGTCCGCCAGGACCATCCCGCAGAACGGCCCCGGGGCCAGGCCCGCCAGCTCCACCACCCTGATGCCACGCAACGCCATGGCCAGTCCTGGGGCGAAGGCCGATCGGGCCCGCACCCACCCGCCGAGTACCACAGTCCATCTCACACCGCACCCCGCCCCTCTCACGCGCCTGCGCGGGAGCGCCCGGGAGGCTGCGCGCGCTTGCGCAGTACCCGCCTACCCGTTCTAGCCCCGGGCTAAAGTCTAATTAGCTGCTCTACTCTGAATTAATGTTTAAGTCCTTGACCTTGAGGACTCCGGCCTGTGAGAGTCCTCTCGGGAAGCTTTCATTGTGCCACCCGACTCCCTGCTCCCATCCCTCAGTAAGTGACTTAAAGGTACTTTAAGCACTTTACTATTTAGAACAACATATGGAGCCAAGGACATTTCCTTCAGCAGGCCACAAAGTGTCCCCCTCGCCGTCCTGAAAACTTAGTGTCCTTCCAGTAACAGTTTGAAACCCCTACTAGATGCCCTTAGTTTTCAAAGGAAGAGCTGAGGGTGTAGCTCAGTTGGTAGAGTGCTTGCCTGGCATGCTTGGAGGCCAGCGCCACTTAAACTGCCCCTGGTGGGGACTCCTGGACCCAGCAATTCGGGGGAGCCTGAGCTATCGGAAGTGTTGTTCATCCAGGGTTGAATGCGAGAGCTTTAAAAATGATTTTGGTTTGTCAGCTGTCAGTTTTATGGAAAATTGCAATTTTGCCTTAGAAACTCTTTTTCAACCTTTTAGAAAAGTATAAAACCGTCAAATATCCCCACCCACATTTACAGGTCGTTTTCTCAGTAGCGGGTAGAGCCTCTGTGTAGGTGGCTAGATGCAGTTTTTGAAAGCTCTAGAAAACCGAACACATTCTAGAAAACTCTGGCACCAATTCTTAACAAGTGGGGCAGAAAAGAAAATCAAAGGTGAATTGCTACGAAGTTGTAGGCATAACTCTTTTAACCAGCTAGAGTTTTAAGATAACTTCTGGGCAGAGGTGTCTCTGCTCTAGCTCCTAGGATTATATTCACAAGTGATTATAAGTAGTGGCTGGGAGTTCTCTTTTGGGCCAAGATAGGAAAATATGTGGAAACACATGAGATGGTGTGTTTTATCACTATGTTTGAAAATAAAATGGTTAAGTCTAGGGTTGTAGGTTAGCCATAGAGTGTTCATGCTTAAGTTGCTGGGCTTAGTACCCCAAGCCACAAGACAGTAATAGAGCTATAAATATATCCAGAAAAGTATCTGGCCCCTTGCCATCTGTGACAATTGAAATCTGCTTCACACTATGCTCACACCTTTAACCTACTGTCTTCCATTGAAAATTCAGAGAAGGCAGAAAATGGAATGGTTGAGTAGCGCTGTATCTTACAGTGGGTAGATGTTTACCAACTCTAGCTATGTCCTTGGGATTTACATTCTCATTGGAATATGCATTTATTTTGATTTGACTTTCCTTCCCCCCCCCCTTGGTGGTAATGGGATTGAGCCTGGTGCCTTCTATGTGCTGGAAAAGCCATATTTTACCACCTAGAATATATCTCCAGTCCTGTTTACTTTCTAGGTTGATTCAGGATCTTTACAAGTTGCCCAGGAAGTGTGTAGCTTGTGACCCTCCTGCCTCAGACTCACAAGTAACTGAACATTATGGACTTACAGGATCCAGAATGGCTTTTTTTATTTAGAATTCAACTCTTTTTCATGATTTACTCCCTTGTTTTTTTTTACTATTTCAAATGATCCAAATAACATTTGAGAATGTTCTAAATACATTGGATCAAATCCTAGGAGAGAGAGAGAGAGAGAGAGAGAGAGAGAGAGAGAGAGAGAGAGAGAGAGAGAGAATTTCCATTTAAATGCTTATGAAATGTTTCTTGCTGCAGTTTTATCTAAGGATAGGTCATATTTTTCTTCCAAAACACTAGGTTAGTGGATACTCCTTCCTCCAAACACTTACTAAGTAGTATATGTGTCTATATAATTTTTCTTATAAATACATGCAGAAATGTAATGTTTTTCCATTGTACATATTCACTTATCATGGGTTGTTGCTTTAAAATACAGTTTGAAGTAGAACAACCAGACTGGCACCAACTTTTTCCTTCTTCACAATTCCACAGAGAGTTGTTATTGTAGTTTTAGCAGCCTCACCATATGATTTTGTTTTCGCATTCCTTTTTGAATACAGAGCTTTCACCTTTTCACTCAGGGGAGTTTCTTCATGGCCTCTCTTTGGCTTATCCAAATTGTCAGTATAATAGCTTTGTGTTTGTTGAACAAAATAGGCCTCACTTAAACACAAATGCTGCAATATGAAATAATCAAGACAAACACTAATTGACTAACAGACTTGTAGCATATTCAGTGTGGATATTCAGAGCAAAGGTTTTGTGGTAAAGGAGTAAGGGAGCACCAATTCCCATGAGTCTACTCAGAATGGCATAAAATTCAAATCTTATTATGAATGTCTAGGGTTTTCTATTTAGTATCTTCAGACCTCAGTTAACTGCATGTATTTGAAACTTCAGAAGACATCACCTCAGATTAGTGATTACTGTGTAATTGAGTCATGAGTAAAAGAACTATAGAACCATTAATAATTATTTTTGATCTTCTGGCTCTCTCCTGAATCACCTACTAGTACTCACTTGCAAATGAGGTAATTTCATCCTCCCACAAATTCATGTGCAATTCAGTTATAATGAAAATTAGAATGTTGGCATGAGCATAAAAAGATTGCAGGTGTATGATGAAGAACCATCCACTCAGAGAGACCCAGATCTTAAAAGGGAACTGCTAACCACCGATGTTTTAAAGGATTGAAGCCACAGAGCAATTGGAAGTGGAGTCTTGTGGAGACAGGTGACCTTTGCTGTTTGAACATCTCTGAGTTGTATGGCTGTTAACACTGTCAGGAAAATGTTTTACTTTACATTAACCACATGGTTTGCAATTGTGTGACAATTGTGCTTATTAAGAACAATAAAAAAAACGGGATCATCAAAAAAGTGTGTTTATTTCCACATATGCTTATGTATTTTTGCTACAGTTTCATCTAATGCTTATGTATTTTTTGCTACAATTTCATCTAAAGTTATGCCAGAATTTTCCTCCAAGACACTTAGTAGGTAGTAGATAATCTTCAGATAAGACATTTCTTTGGTCATTATGTAACAGTCCAATATCTTTGGCACTTCTGTGAAATGTTTGTGGCATTTGATCACAGTAACTCTTAACCCTGTGACCCCACAGCTCTGGACATAAAAGTACACACTAAATCACGAAAATATTTTCTGATAATGGCAAATAATTATCTGTTTTTGTTTTAGTTTTTGAGACTGGGTTTCTCTGTGGCTTTGTAGGCTCTCCTGGAACTAGCTCTTGTAGACCAGGCTGATCTTGAACTCACAAAGATCCTCCTGCCTTTGCCTCCCAAGTGCTGGGATCAAAGGCATGCGCCACCACCGCCCCGCGTAACTATCCACTTTAAAAGAGTACTAGATGCAAACTTAGGAAGAGTTTAAACAAGTTTGTGGGTGAAAAGTATAGGGTCAAGGTTGGACTGAATGTGGAAGACGATGAATTAGCCAATAGGACAGCCCTCCTTGACTTTCATTGCCTCTAGCTATAGGGTGATAACTTGAAGGAAATCAGGTGGTTTAAATGTCTATGTGTATGTTTAAATTGCTGTATAAAATAAATTAAGGACTCATTGCTTTAAAGAGAATTGATTATATAATTTTTTTCAGATACGAATCTCACTGGTGCATTTTAAATACGATTTGGCACTAGGGTAAACACACTGCAATGATACTTTCTACAATGAAACAAGCTTGGGTACTGGGGATGTAGCTCAGTAGAAGAGCACATACCTAGCATGTGTAAGGCCTAGGCTTGAGCCTAGACAATTCATAATACACACACATGTATGTATATTTATGTATATGTGGTACTTTCTGTGAGTACTAACTTACGGCACATTCTATGAAGGTGTTTTGACGACAAATTTAATCCTTTTTTATAAATTACAGAGTGGGGATAGCTAGGCAAAAACCAACTAGGACCTTCTATAACACTGTGGCATATTAAAACTGCTTTGTGAATGTTAGTCAAGTATGGTAATAAAGGAAATATCACTTTCATTACAAACATTTATAATGTGTTATTATGTGTCTCTTGAATGGAATACATTTATATTTTGCATCCATTGGTCTACCTATATATAATTATGATCACAAGTCCTTCAGCATAACATGGTATATATAAAACAAACATTTGGGGATAGTTCTCAAATTTAAAAAATAGGATAACATCTGTACTATATCATCTTAAGCTTACCTCAGGTGGTTGTGCAGAGTCAAGAGAGCCCTACTACAGTCCAAGAGATGCAGTAGCAAAAGGAAGATCTGGCAAGCCCGATATGATAAACCCAGTTCTGGATTATGAGGAAATTTAAATCTGAAAATCTAAGCTGCTAGAACTCAATATTAATTTACATGTTTGCTTATGTTTTTAAAGAGGAGCCAAAAATTATTTGTGGGCATTGCAAATAATTTTACTATTTAAAAGTTATCTGAAATGATTAACACTTTCTTATAATTTATTCATGAATATAAAAACACAAACCCACTAAACCAAATGCTATTTCCAAACCTAGACTTCACAAGTGTTTCTCTAGATACGTTCTGAAAAGTGTCCTTATTCTTGCCCTAGCCCGGCCATAATCAGGCTGTTCTCTGAAATATTGTGAAGAACAATGAACTAGAACTTGGTTGACTCCAAAGCTGATACTACATTTAAACAGAGCACCAAAACTCTTTGCATATGCTGTTTTTGAGGTGAACAATTATTTCCAACCTGCATCAGGTGACAGTTCCTTCAAACATGTAGGGAAGAGTGACAAAAATGCTGAGTATTTCCCAAGGTCATCTGGAAATGTTACCTTGTGGTCTATTCTTCTGAGCTTCTGATTCATCCAACATTATTGGTATACCAGTAGGACAAGTAGCAGTGTGCCCAGTATAACAGTTAGATACTCCATATAGAACCCCCAACTCAACATCACTCAAATCATAACAATCCTAGCTCAGCTACAAGTCTCCCCCCAAAGTGGAGCTATCCTATCCTTCCTGTCACTTAGTTTCAAAGAGCAGGAAGCCTGCGAAGGTGGAGAAGCGCTGGTGGTCCCCATGGAGGGCACCATTGCCCATTCTCAGCCAGACTTCATCCCCTTTGGCCAATTTGAGCACTGCATGGTTGCTGGATGTATCTGATTTCCCCTTTGTTTCATAGCTGGAAGAAAGAGAAGGACACACTACTTAGTATTTGCCATGCCAACCCAGATCTTGAGCATATTCTGTCCCTACCTTCTATACCTTAGGTATAGTCATGTGTTAAGTTCTCTAAATGGCATGCAAGTGGGAATAGCATGAACCACTTCTAGAACTGTCCAATAAAACTTACTTTCTCCTTTCTTTTCCCTTTCTGCTAGGACATCAACAACAATTGCAATAGTGGCCTTGAAAGCCATTTGTAAACATCTGCCATCTTGACCATTACTATGTAGAAGACAACTCTCTTACTCCTACTTAGACAGGGAATATACGCCCAGGATTATCTTACCAGACTTCCCCAGACTATTAGATAAGGAAAAAGGAAAGCTCTACTATCTTTCAACCTTTACATAGAGCCTATTTATACAAGGGTTTATTTTCTTCTCACCAATCTGGAATTGGTATTCAAGGAAGGTACTATCAACAACCAAAATGAAAATAAACTTGCTAACAACCAGGCAGGAGGAGTGTGGAAATAAATACTGTCAGGTGAAAGATAATGACTGATGTGTGTTGGTTGGAAAGAGAATGACCCCTATAGATTCATGTATTTGAATACCTAGTCCCCAGTGTACTGATTAGGAAGGATTAGTAGGTGTGGCTTTGTTAGAAGAGGTGTGTCGTTGGGGGGATGTCTTTGAGGTTTCTAAAGCCCATGTCAAGCCCAGTCAGTCTCATATTTATTTATTCTGTCTGTCTGTCTGTCTGTCTGTCTCTGTCTCTGTCTCTGTCTCTGTCTCTGTCTCTCTCTCTCTCATCAACATGTGGATCAGGATGGTAGCTCCACCATGATCTTCAACGACTTAGCCTCTGAAACAATAAGAAAGCCCCCACTTAAATGTTTTCTTTTATAAGTTGCCTTGATAGTGGTGTCTCTTCACAGCAATAGAATAGTAACTGAGACACCATGTTATGGTTGGAGGATATTTGGAAAAATCATGGTAACATAAGTCCAATATACACTCTCCACCTAAGCAAAGGATTCAAAAGAGGTAAATACTCTTTGCAGCTTTTACAAGATGTTTCTTTTAAAAGATGAATTTGGAGAATAGATAAATAGAGTTCAGACAATCAGGACTCTAACAAGGTTGAAAACAAACAAATGAAAGAAAGGGGGTGTTTTTATACCTGAGGAGCCAAGACAGAGCTGATGCATTCCCATTAGGAACTTTCACTTGGAGTCACATTCCACTTATTTCATAGATAGAAAATGTTATCTTTCTAACCAAATGTACTATTTTATCTTGGTAATAATGACTGCACTTAGAAAAGGACAAAGCAACCAAGAGTCACAAGTGTAACAGGCTAACTGTCCAGAAAGTGTACTGGATATGATTCACTAACATGTCACTGACTTTGAGCAAACAGAGCAAGCACCTTATGTATTCTAAGGAAACCATTGCCAAAGACCCTGACTGGACTAGAAAGACTTGGGATATTTGGTTTAGTTCTCAGATTTCTACCAGCAGGAAGTGGGACATGAAAAAGCCCTAAGACTTTGGATGTGGCCATGGAGAAAAGTAGACAAGAACACCCTTCAAAGGACAGAATCAGAAGTCAAAGAGAAAACCCGTGGAGGGCTGACTTATGAAAGGACTATTCATCTCTGAACTGTGGGTTCGAACTGGTATAGGCTCTCTCTCATGTTGACCAAGACAGGGAGGTGTGTGCTATGGAAGGAGAATGAGCTGGATGGCTGTTTGGGAATCGGGTCCCTTGAGAGGGCAGGCTGTTCACCAGAATTCATTCTCTCCTGGTTATGGATTTGATAGAAAATGTCTCCCACCGGCTCGTGCATTTGAATAGTTCATCCCCAGCTAGTAGAATGATTTTGGAGGTTGTGGAATCTTTTGGAGGTGGAGTGTAGCTGGAGAAAGTAGGTTGTAACAGTGTTCCCTTGAGTGCCTGTTATCTCTAGATCCTCTAACTTGGATTTCCATGTTCCTGGGCCACTGAAGTACGAGGAGCCCTGCCACACACAGCTCCTACAGGGAACTCTTTCCTCCTGTCCCTGCTGTGCTGCTCTTAGTCCTCTCAATGAACTTTCCCTTAAGTTGCTTCTTTGCAAGTGACATAGGTCACAGCGATGGGAAAAGTAGTGAATGCCCTCCTACACAGGAACTGTCCTAGTTCCTTTTACTGCCCTCAGGCTGCCTAGGTAGGGCTGGAAACAGAGGGATTAAATTCATTGAATAAAATGCCAAATTAAAATGTTCACAGTTTGTTCTTTGCTCCTTCTGACTCCAGAAATGACCATGACCAGTGAGAATTTTTGAAGTCAGCTTTTTAGATGTCTAAGCTGCTCCATCAGCCAGCATCCCTGAAAATAAAAACGAAAAGCAAACAGGAGGAATAGCTCCACCCCACCACTTTACAATGCTCTCTTCTACCCTTTCTGCCACCCTACTTCCCCATCCTGGAACCCTTGCCCTGGATTGCTCAAGGTACTGGTGTGTCTGAGCCACTGTGTTCTGAATCTCTAACAACAGTATTACCTGCTTTGACTCAGGCCAGACTCTAGAAGCAATCATGACAAGTGATAAAAATTACAGAGGGAAAAAATTACAGAGGAAACATTAGAGCCAAAAAGGTTTTCACAGACAGGATGCTGGCTCTCTGCCTGTCCTAACAACAGAGCATGATATAGTACTTTCTGAAACATTTCACCCCAAGGAGCTCTGGGGCCAAGGTGATCAGTGTCAGTAAAGGCACAGTGTAAGGAAGGACCTGGTCTAACCTGAGGCTAACCTCCTCAGTCAGCCATGCAGGCTGTGAAGACTGCTAATAGTGCCAGGCTTCAGGCAAGGGGGAGAAGGAAAGCAGAAGAAACCAAATAAATAGGGAAAAATAATAAGTGAAAGAAAGTTCTGATTGGTGGCTAAGAGGAGTGCTGCTGGTCATTTGTTCACAGTCTCGTATCACTTGATAAGTTCATTACTGTTCTTCCCAAGCAAGGGTGATAACCTGACCAAATAGCGGGATTCTCGTAGAGAGCAAAATGGTTTTGTTAGGCCCTGTTAACTCCTAAGCTCTTCCCTGTCCTTGGACTTCCTCTGTTCAAGTGATGGCAGCACTGGGGAGACCTGTGACCGAAGACATGACGCACCTGTACATGCTGAAGACTGTGTTGCCATTGTGCATAAGGTACACATACACCTCCTCCACGTCCTCATGCTTCATCATGCTGAAGGTGAAGAAATACACACCTGGAAAGAACATGGATTTCCTCATTCACTCACCCATACACATTGAGTCAGTGGTTTCACACAAGGCCTTGTGTTCTGTGTATTATGTGGTTTCGTGGCCCGTTCATATAAATATTCTTTCATTTGCTCCCCTTCAAAATGCTTTGATTTTTTATTGGTTTTTCAAGACAGGGTTTCTCTGTGTAACAGTCCTGGCTGTCCTAGAACTCACTTTGTAGACCAGGCTGACTCTGACTCATCGAGATCCACCTGTCTCTACCTCTGAAGTGCTGGAATTAAAGATGTGCACTGCCATCACCCAGCACTTTGATTATTTTTAACTCAGTGTATTTCCTATTTATGCATAGTAAGATTACAAAATCATTACTAAAATTAGTCAAACATGAAATTAAAATGGACAACTACATTCCCAGATGTAACCAAGATGGTGAAATATCAGCACACAAGTCAGTGTTTCATAGTTCTAAAGATACAGTTTGGGTCATTTCTCAGAGACCCATTGTAAGTCAGTAATGTTTTAATAAAACATTCAACTTTATCTCTGCCACAACACTTTGTTACTAAAAGAATATTCTTACTGATTTGCATGTTACGGTTTTTTAACTACTAGCTGTACAAGAGAAAAAATAAACAGAAATACCTACAAGAAAAAAACACAATGGGCCATTCATATTTCTTTCCAAATACCTATTTCCTTTCTACGAAGACATCAGCTATAAGGTTCCATCTGATATTGAGCCAAGCCACAGAACATTCATGCGTTGTTAAGTGTTGGGCAGGAATATTTGATGGCAATCAGTAATACCCATTCAAATACCTAGAGATAGGTTCATAGAGGAAAAGCAAAGACAGATGAAAATCAAAGGACTCCAAGAAATAGTTTGTACATGGTCTAGTGTTTTACATTTTATAGGATTTCATTTTACACACACAACAATTTTCAGTGCCTCCAGAAAGTAAATTTATAATCAAAATAACAGGAAAATACAGTAGTCTTCCTTTAAAAATGATACTATAAATAAATTTAGATTGCAGAAACTCTTTAGAAAGAGCACACTAAGAAACCAGATGGTAAATAATGAGAATTAGAATTGCAGAAGTAGTGGGGCATTGGTGGTGCACTCCTTTAATCCCAGCACTTGAGGCAGAGTCAGGCAGATTTCTATGAGTTCGAGGACAGCCTGGTCTACAAGAGCTAGTTCCAAACAGCCTCCAAAGCAATGCAGAGAAACAATGTCTTGGAAAAAAAAGTATTGCAGAAGTGAACCTGTATCATGTACAGGTTCTCTCTACAAGGAAATGGGAGGTGATTCACTTGTTCTCTGGTTTTCAAGTCTTCGAGTTGCTCTAACTGCAAATCTCAGCTTTATCTTATCAAATTTAAAAGTGGGAAAGATGATCATCAGTTTGTAATCACTGGTGACATTAAAAAATAAACAGTGTGAGGATTCAAATTATAAGTTATCATCAGAATGGCATCCAACCAAGAGATCTCAAAAATAATTTTATTCTGGAGTCATTGAACTCAGGGGAGCATTGACCCAAGATAGCTAGGCACTTATCTGTGGCACATCGCAATTTGCAAAAAATTGTTCCAGGAAACGTAAAGCCCCCAGAGCAGAAAAGTCACAAAAGTGACACTGACTGAAACATGATTAACAGATTGTCTCTGTAGTTGAATGCATTAGGCCATTTCTTACTTAAACGGGGTGAAATAAACTAAAGCACACATTAGAAGCTTATGTGTATGTTTAACATGGCCACTGCATTCATTCCAATATTTCCCCCCTGTATATATCATGGAGGGTAACAAGGAAAGAAAACTGAATACCAGAAATTGAAAAACTGTCAAATTTATGCAAAACTAGGACACTGAAGAAAATTGATGCCCCTCAAGTATGTCAAGATACTGCCCAAAGCAGGAAGCTGGGCAGGGCTTCTAGGAACAAGGGAAAGTAGATCTCAACCCTGCCAGGGAAAATATACTCCCTGATGGAGAAAGGCCACTCTCAAGTACTGAAAGACAGTCCTGGGATCAGGCCTAAGGGGCAGTTTGCTAGAAAAAAAAAATAGAAGGCCAAGGTGTTGCTGCAGTGGCCAATATCAGGATTTGCCAGCAATAACAGGCTGCTGAAAGACTGGCTCCAAAGTCTTTCTCAGGAAGTATGAGGAGGCAGAGGAACTGTGGCCACACAGGATAAATACACACAGCAGCCCTGCCTAAGAAACTTGTTATGCCCTGTTGGTAACCCTGGGAGGCCTTTTCTTAAGGGAAATGGAGGTGTGGTGAATCTGGAGAGTGTGGGGGGGCGGCTTGGAGGAGTGGAGGGAGGGAAATTGCAGTTGGCATGTATTGTATGAGAGAAGAATTAATACGAAGAAAAAAATCAATCCCCTGGCAGCAAGAAGAGGCATTGAAATGTCACACATTCAAGGTTGCCTGGGTCCTTTGCCAACAGTCTCCTACAAATAGTTGGTCTAGGAGAAGCCAGATCATTCAGTCATCAGCTACTTCTTAAAAGTAGAAAGAACAGCCGGGCGGTGGTGGCGCTCGCCTTTAATCCCAGCACTCAGGAGGCAGAGGCAGGCGGATCTCTGTGAGTTCGAGGCCGGGCTGGACCGATAGCCTCCAAAACAATACAGAGAAACCCTGTCTCGTAAAAACCAAAAAAAAAAAAAAGTAGAAAGAACAGCAAGAGTTATCCAATGGATGACTAATACCAAAAGGACATGTTGCCACATACCAGATGAGCGATGATATTGCCAAATATGTACCAATAAAGCAAATGGCGCTTTTCTAAAACAGAAGTAAAAAACCTGTGGTAGAAATAACCAGACAAGAGAAGGAACTAGAAACTAGGACATTGGGATATCCTGGTTATATTAATTATTTTTCCAATAGTTGTGACCAAATACCTGAAAAGAAGCAATTCAAGGGAAGAAAGTAATTTCGACTCATCATTATTCCTCATGCTAAGAGGAATGCGGTCTATCATGGCAGAGAAGGTGTGACATCACCAGCTTGATGTGATGCAGTGCCACTGCAGCCAGAAGGCAGAGGCCAGACAGGACATGGGCCCAGACTCAAGCCTCAAGGCCTGGCCTTAGTGACCTACATCCTCCAGCCGCCCATCCCACACCCCACCCCCTAAAGGGTTCACAACCTTGAAAACAATGCCACCATCTGAGGACCACGTGTTCAAACATAGTCTTCCAGGAGACATTTCATGTTCACTCTCCACATTCTGCCTTGGACCTCTACAGGCTCACGGCTGTCTCACAACACAAAATGCAATTACTTGGACTTTTAAAGTCTCTAATGTCCTTAATAGCCCCAACTGTGATCACAAGTGCAAAGTATTCTCTTCTAGAACCAAGGTATTCTCTTAACTGTGGGTCTCTGCACAGGTCAAAATCAAGTTGCATACTTCAAACATAATGACACAGAGTAAATATTCCCATTCTAAAAGGGAGTAAGGGGAGCAAAACCAAAACCTACTAGGGCAAGCACCAACCCTACAGCTCCCAGGCAGGGATCTGAGGTCTGTGGTAGAACTGTCTGGCTTTGAAGGGCTTCGGCTGTCCCACCCTTCCAACTCAGCCCCCTGTAGCATCTCCAATGTTCTAGGGAAGCCATTGCAACTTGAGCTTTACCTTCATAGCTTCATGAAGCAGCCTTTCAAGTTTTCTTTGTAGGGGCTCGGACCCTGTACACACTGGATGGCCTCAGAGGCTCTCTGGACCCTTGGTACCAGAGTGCAAAAGACTCTATGTCCCAATGACTCATATCTTTAATGTCTGCAAGACCAATACCATGAGAACGATGCTGCCAACTTCTACTGCCAACTCAAAACATAGGCTGGCCCACCCTGCACCACAGCTGTAGAAGCCTTTATGTGTTTTTGAGGCTGACTCTGGGAAAACACTTCCATGGGTGGCTATATTGGATCAAGAATCCCTTTAACTGTTCCTCCACCCCGTGAAGTCTGTGTTCCTGTGGGCACTCTGGCCTTCCAAACTGCTTCCAGAAACTTCTACTAAGGTCTGCTCACAGTAGTCTAGGGCTTTTTTAGCCTGCAGCTCCAAACACTTCCACGCTCCTACAAACAAACCCCACATCTTCTTCTTTCTCTCCCTCCTCCCTCCTTTCTCTTTTGATGGCTTCATTCATTGATGTTTACATCTCACCTGATACAGGAGCCCCAAATCTACCAGTCATGACATCAAAGAAGTTTCCAATGTTGGTCTCAACACTGCTGAAAATGATGCCGCTGTTCTGATTGCTGAAGTGCGTTGCTAGAGAAGCCATGAATGCAATCTAAGGAGAAAGCTGGTGATCAGTCCAAATTTGTCTTAAAGAAAAACATCCTCGTACAGGTAATTTTATTGCAACGTTATTTGTGATGGAAAGCTTGAATATAAATACCAAACAATAGATAAATAAGTAAATGAATTACAATAATTTAATGTGCTTTATATCATATAGATATTAGTCCACATTAACAGTTCTGAACATATTTTAAAAACTACTAGTCCAGCTGGGCGGTGGTGGCTCATGCCTTTAATCCCAGCACTCGTGAAGTAGAGGCAGATGGATCTCTGAGTTCAAGACTAGCCTGGTCTACAAGAGCTAGTTCAAGGACAGCCTTCAATGCAATACAGAGAAACCCTATCTAGAAAAAACAAAACAAGAAAAATTAAAATTCTGTTATCAAGTAAAACTAGAAAAATTTGGATGAAGTTCTCAGGCTGTAGTATTGGATGCATGTTGGTATATTACATGATTAGAGAAACTGATGATTAAACAACTTCTTAATTTTTGTTAACCCTAGGGAAATGTCTTTTCATGCATAAATTAAAAAGTAGGCAACACACAGTAAAAGTAGGCAACACAGATTAGCAAATAAAATATAAGTAGATGCTTAGCCATTCATGTATATGTTTAAAGGTTTCAGTGCAACTTGGTTAAAACCCTCTTATCTAACCCATTGTCTCACCTGTAAAGCAGGGTCATGTTTTTGGCTGTTTGGTCCTATGGGAGCATTGAATTTCTCACTCAATAAATACCCTTTCCTAAGAATGCTCTCAGAGCTGTGTTTGAGAATATACCTGATGCAAACATCCTTCCATGGAAATTAGCAAAGTGAAACGGAGATGTCCCCAAGATGAGTGAAGGCTTGTTCACTGGAACCTTTTTGGTCCCTGTGTTCAGACAGCGTTAGAAGTCGCCTGGAGATATGCAGAGGGTGACTTACCTGCAGTTCTGGTGGCACCCCTGGGTAGCCCTTTTCTCCTTTGGGGCCATGCTGCCCCCGCTCCCCTCGGGGTCCCAGGTCTCCTTTGTCTCCTTTCTCACCTTTGGCCCCTTCATGGCCAGTGGCGCCATTATTTCCATTGTTTCCATGGTTTCCTTTAAAAATCAGCAATTATATAAGAAAAAGCTGATTCACTCTTGCCACTGTGCATTTTTAGAGAAACACAACTCCTTCCTTCAAAAATATCCAAACTAATTGTAAGAGGAGACCATGAAAACAACCCTTACCATAGCCCTTTAAAGGGCATCCAGTGAGTGCTCTTTTTTTTTCATTTTTTATTTAAATTAGAAACAAACAAGTTTGCTTCACATGTCAATTCCAGCTCCCTCTCCCTCCCCTCTCCCCTGCCCCCCTCACCAGGCACCCCAGTCCCCCAACCAATCCCCACTCTGATCCCCAGGAAGGGTGAGGCACTCCTTGGAGGATCTCCAGAGTGTCATTTCATCCAGAGCAGGCCCCCCCCCGCCGTGAGTGCTCTTTTAGGCTTTGAAATAGCCATAGAGACTAAGACTCCAAAGCATGCTTCTCTCTAAAGCAAGCATTGAGTGAAAGGCTGTGTAGAAGACTCACCATCACATTACCATTGGAAACAGTGCAGATTAACAAACAAAATACCCACCAGTGCTAGGATGGCTGCATTTTATTACATTATATATTCATGAAAATATTTTAAAGGATCAAAGTTACAATAAACATAAGTGATATTTTTAGTTAAGTTTGTAAATAAATAGGGATGGCATTGCACTATTTCAGTTTGAATCATTATGTGTTTACGTGTTATTTCCATAGAGAAAAAAACTTATTCTATTTGTTATCCACAATTATATATAGTTTTTCCTGAATGGATGCAACATTAGTGATTTTGCATTGTTCTATATGTTTTTCCATCTCCTCAAGTCTTCTGCCAAAGATTTGAAGCAATTCTATAATGGGGAGAAAAACTTGTAAAATAACATAATAATTTTTCAAAGCAAGGGTCAGGCTCTGCACCTATTTCTTATTTCCATATTTGTTAAAACTTCAGGGTCTTCTGCATTATACTTTGTATGTTATCTTTGACAGGGCACTAAATTAGGCTTGCAATGCTTCCAGAACAATGAACTTTGACTGTTAGGTTAAAGTGTTCTGTGACAAAGATGCTTCCTATTGGGAAACGTTTAACCAAAGCCAGCTTGCCCTATAATGTCACAGGAGGTCAACGAATCTAAAGATCCTTTGCTCCCTATCATCGGCAGTGTGAATGGAAGCCTCTGGTGGACAATGACATAGGTCTAAGTATAGTGTCAGGTTTGGGGTGCCTTTTGTTGCTGTTGTTGTTTTTATATAAATTTGGTTTCACATGAGAGGTACAAAAGAGTTAATCCAACTTTGATAATTATTAACATGAATGGGGGAAAGTCAGAGAACACAAACAGACTTCTTGTAGAAGGAACCCCTCAGGGGTAGGGGCAAGGAGAAAGGTCTACTCTCTGCCCACCCAGTTCATTATAGCAACAATCTAACACAGAGGTTGACCATGGATCTAGAGCAGTGGGTCTCAACCTCTGGGCTGTGACTCCTCTGGGGGTCATCTAAAACCATCAGAAATATCAGATATTTGCATATAACAGTAGCACAACTAGTCATGCAGTATCAACAAAAATAATTTTAAGACTAGAGGTCTTCATAGCATGAGGAACTATATTAAAGGATCATATAGTATTAGGAAGGTTGAGAATCACTTCTCTAGAAGCATCTGAGACTGTCACACGCTGCCAGAGTCCAAAAAATGTGCTCATGTGTCCAAGTGAGTCATGGAAATCAACTGGAAACAACAAAGATCAGTAAAATTAAATAAATAAATTATATAGGTAAATAAATAAATAAAAAGTGCCTAAGCCTAAAATGACACAGGAAGTCATACCCCTCAGTGGTTAGCAGAGTGACATTCAGTTAGCTTTCCTTTCTACCTGCCTTCATTTAATACTTTTAACTTTTAAAGGAAAGTTATGGTGTGTTGTGTAAAGTACACTATGACAGAAATACTGATTGCTGTGGTTTAGATAAATGTCTCTTCAAAGTTTGTATGTTAGAGGCTTGATCCCCAGTGTGGTGCTGTTGGGAAGTGGTGTAAACACCAAGGGGTGTGGTCTACTTGGAGGTTAAAGGTCACTGAGGACTGTGTGGTCTGAAGAAGATTGTAGGAACTTGGTCTTTTCTACTCTCTCACTTCCTGGCTATCATGAGGTGAGTGGCTTTACTCCACCTCAGCTCCCCCATCATGGAAGTACTGCCTCACTACAGGCCCAAAAGTAGTCTCAGACAGCTATGGGAGAAACTTTCACATTCATTAGCAAAATAAACCTCTTCTCTATGTAAGTTGATTATCTAAGGAATTTGCAATAGTAACAGAAGGTGACTTGTATAGAGATGCTAAGGTGGGTCTCAGTTCTCAGTAAGTGACTCCATCCACAGGCTGGTGAAGAATCTCCCCTCCTTTGAGTCTCATCATGCATATCTGAAGCCTCTTGGATTCTCTGAGTAGTGTAAAGAATAAATGCTATAGAGTTGTTCACTTGAGCTGACCCAATCAACCCAACTCCCCTGCTAGATTTTTTATCTTTGCATTTCCTGTGCATACTCAATATATGTCAACCCCAAGTATTTGCATTTGCTCTTGACATCTGTTTTTGACACAATCTATTGTTGAAATTGCAGTGCAAACTGTGTGTCCTTACCTGGAATGCCTGGAGGGCCTGGAGGTCCAGGGGGCCCTTGGTAACCACGGAATCCATAATCTCCATGACAACACTTGCTGCAGTCTGGGGGCAATCCTCCAGTTTGTGGAGACTTAAAAATGATGAAAACAGAAACTCCAGGTAAAGATATTTATGAGAACTTATGAACTTTTTCGATCCCTCTGGTCTTCACCCTTAGATAAGTTTAACTTAACTCACAGTCACATCAGAAAAAAAAAAACAGTCTGGGACATTGGGAATATCTGTGGAATGGGAGCTAGGGAGAAGTTAAGGTGAGTGGGTGATCGAAGGTAAAGGCAACAGGAGCTCCACACAGATGTGCTTTGGGGGTGTGTGAGGACAGGCCTGTGCAGAGAATGGGGAGGGTTAGGCAGATGTCTTGGACAGCATCTGCCCATGCAAGTTTGTGACAGCAAAAGCATAATCTCATTCAGAAGAGGAAGCCTATTCTCTCTCTCAATACCCAGAAGTCTCGACTACAATTAGACTACGGTATCCCTCAAAGCAAACAAGCAACAACTTCAGTGCAACTACTAAACACCACACTCCTGATAATGTCTTAGAGGTCTCAGGAACGCTGTAACTCCACCTTCCCAAACCTCTAGAGAGCACAAATTGCTGGGGAAACAAAGTATTCTTTAGTCTGTACATTTATGTATTTATTTTTAAATTGAAAAGTAGAAATATAGTTATCACATACAACAGATGTATCACCTGTACATCCTTGTCGAATAGCTAGTTCATGCACATATGCATTACCTCACTTGCTTTCGCATGATGAGTACATTCAAAATCTGCTCTCTTGGCAGTTTTCAAGAATTCAGTAAATTGCTGTTAACTGCATTCATCCGATCAATTTTTGTTATTTACACCTTGAACAGCTTTAACTTCATTGTAAGTGTTTAACATTTCACACATTCTTCCTCTAAATTTAAAGTGATTATCTTACTGTGCAAACTAATATTTAAGGAGTGCAAATGGGTACTATGTATGCTCAACTGTGGCTTCCAGTAAAATTCTTATTTATGCAAAGATAAAATTCTAAAGTGTACTCTTCCTGTGAAGAAACTGAAGGCCTAGTGAGCTGACTGTGGGGAGAGTCAGAACATGTCAAATCTGGATTCTTGTCTGCACTGGCAACTTGCCTTTTAATTGTGTCATGCAAAACACTTGTGGAAACTTCCCTAGACACCAATTACAATTCAACAGTTTTGAAAACAGGACATTGTTGCTAAGGGATTCATTGTAAAAAAAGAAAATGAGGGAGGAATTGAGTGACAGAACAGAGGACAAAGATGGGGCATGAGGAGGCAAAGAGAGAAGAGGGAAGAATTTACTATTCCAGTTTTCTCTGTGGATGAAGGTTTCACATTACTACACATTTACACCTTACTTTTATCGGTTGGTCTTATAGGCTTGGTCATTGTCCTGCCTTTCCCTAAAGTTTTCCATAAACCTGTTGAGGGACTAAGTAGCCTGCCCTGGTGCATGCCTTCTGCTGCCACCACTCAGAACCCAGTGATGAGGGATCAAGAGTTATATGCTGGAGATAACTCTTAGTTTTAAGTCTGCCAAACCCAACCGCAGACAGGTATAAATTCATATTGGCTAAGGAAAAAATCAACTAATACACTTGGTTGGAAATGAAGACACTTGGAAATCAAGCCCCACTGCCAACCCCACCTACCGCACATCTGAGAAGTATGTTCATCATCTCCTAGAATGATTTGCTAATGTAAAATACAGCTTCTGTGCCCCAGGAATCCAGAGTTTTGCCAATGATGGGTTTCATGGATAGAGAAAGGGGGAAAGATTTCTGTAAGAACAGAATGGAAATACTGAGATGCTTAGAACTGCTAGAATAATCACTGCACTGGGACCAGTGTCCCTGATCAGTTCTGTGGGGCCTTAGAAAATCACCATTCCCAGACATCAGTCAGAGCTGGCCCTGAATTTCCTTTCCAGTTCTAAGATGCAAGCAAAGATACTACTGTGTTTAACTTTCAATAATAATTTTGAAAGGCCTTTAACTTTTTAAATTTTAAATAATTTTATTAGGTTTCTTTCTTGTCATTTGTGACACACATGGGACACTCAGAGGACAACCTTGTGAGTTTAGGTCATCAGGCTTGACAACAAGCACCTCTATCTGTCGAGCCAGCTCAGGCAAGAGACAGCCCTGATACTTCCATTTCTACATATCTAGTATCTGAACATAGGAAATGGTGTTTCTTAGTTTCCAAGCTAACAAGGATGAGTGGTGCATGTGCAAGCTATCTGGGGTAACTCCGGGAGCACAAAGCTGCCCCCAGTGCAACAGACTCCTGGTTCTCCTAGTTGAATGCTTCTCCTATGGTGTTTCACCACATGTCCTTTCATCTGCCCTTGGCTTTCAAGGTCTAGTTCAGAGGAACAATGGTAGTGCAGCAAAGAAGCGGGGAGGGGGATAAAGAGGGAGAGAGGGAGGGAGGGAGGGAAAGAGAGACAGAGACAGAGAGACAGAGAGACAGAGAGAGAGAGAGAGAGAGAGAGAGAGAATATGTCGTGTCTATTTGCTAGTGTAGGTGTGTGCTCATGAGTGTGGTGTGTGGGGACCAGACCTGAGTGTTAGTATTCTTCCTCTGCCAGTATTCTACAAGATAGAATCACTGAGCCTGAAGCCAGTAGCTAAGCAGGTTGACCAGTGAACGACAGAGATCTGCCAGTCTCGGGTGTACAGGTGTACAGCCACACCTGGCTTTTTAGGTGAGTGCTGGGAATTTGTACTCAGGTCCCATGCTTGCATAGCAGGCTGATCGAGCCATTTCCCAAGATCTCTCATGAGATTCTTGATGGACTCTAATGTTGGACAGGATATGATTTAGACTTTTTATTCTCACCATGGAAGAATTTGCATATGGGATGTTATTATCCATGGCCTCTTAAGTTTACCATCCTCCTTCCCAAATCATGTAGTTATACATTGGAAGTATGCAGTTGAGCAGCTAAGAGGAAAGGGGTATCTGTAAGACAAGCTCTATCCATTTTGTAGAACTGAGTCCTACTATTAGTAACTGGAGAAAAAAATCCACAGTTCTTTTCTTAGAGAGACAGGATGGTAGGGAGAGAAAGGAAAAGGGGAAGCGGAGTAAGGCTTTGGTGAAGAAAGTGCCCAAAGAAGAGAATATAGAGAGTAGCGCTCTCCTGGCTCCAACCCACTGTGGACTATAGTCAGCTCCTTGCTGGTACACAAATCTTACCACCTCACTGCCCTGCTACCACAGACAGAGCTTTCAGCTGCAACGATTAGTCTAAAGTCCTGCACTAGTTCAGTCCTCCCTTGCTCCAGACCCTCAGATCATTCGCAGTCTCCTCCAGCCGCACAGGACCCAGCCATATTCAGCTTCTCATGGGCTCGTCAGGCCTCAGTGTGGCACGGGTTTTCGTCTAGTACTCTCTAAACCTCTGCTGTAGACAGCCGTCTTTTTAACTCTTCTCTTCACTAAGTTTTTAAGGCCCAGTGACCACCACTATTCTTTTTTATCCCAAGTTTTCTTTGTATGTTGACCTTGTTTACCACACAGAATTTAATCAAACTCAGCTAAGAAATAAGTGAAAAAGACTGGTTGAATATCAGCAAAGTTCAGTGATTGTCATAATGAAATCTGTTGCTTTGTATGCTAATTTTAAAACTTAATAAAAATTAAAAATAAATAAAAAGATTGAAAATTGAATGAATGAATGAACAGACGAATAAACACTGACAATTTTTTTCCTGATAGAGCACTTCAGAGTGGCTTGGTGGTAGAGGCTTGGGTGTGTTTATGGTCTCAGTCTCTATCCTACAGCTTGGAAAAAGTCAAAACTGGGAAATGCTTGGGAAGGAATTGATAGGAAAAAGGGGAATTAGTATAAAGAAGAGGATGGGGGGAAGTAGATAGAGAAGGAAGACCATGGCCCTAAATTCTGTCCATGCATCAGTATCCACTTGTAGAGGAATGGTACCAAAAGCTTCCGAGATGCTATTGACTCTGAATCTCTAGGGTAGCTCCATGTGGGTCTTTATCTGAAGATGCTTCAGGAATCCAGGGCTAGAAGACTAGAATGTAGAGTGGATCAAAACTATAACTGGGACGTCAGTGGCCTAGTTGATGCTGGTTGCCAGGAAATAATCAAAGATAACTTGTAGTACCCCCACTGGACACCTAGAAAAGACACCATCCATCAAGATGGAAAGCCCAGATGGAGGATTGGACATGAATTAAATGAAGAAGAAGATCATTAAAAAGTTAGATGAAGATCACTGAAGCAAACATCTTTAGACAGAAGACAGTCTCTGTTTACACCCTCACTCTGACAAAGCACCACAGAGCAACTTGAAAACTGCACTATGTGGTCCAGTTACATGTCCCAGTTCTGCTGCTGAGTCTATGTGGGTGCTTGTCTATCCACAGAACCAGACAATCAACCAAGACTTCTTAGTCTGTGGCAGGGCTTAGGGGGAGGGGGAATAGGTTGCAACCATGTGAGAAGTCCCAGGGGCTCTACAAAGCATCCAGTCCATGGTTCTTGTGATAATTTGCACTGCTTCAAAAATCATGTATTCACAGTACCCTTCTCTCCATTCCAACTAACTAGAATTTGCCATGCTTAGGCCCTAAGTACAAATGACTTTCTCCCTGTTTTTGCTGCTTTTGATTAAATTGAAGTTTGCTGGTTTGCAATTTCCTGCACCAAAAAAACTTTAGTGACTCCTTTGTCACCTAAAAGACTTAAGGAAAATGTCCTCAGATGCTGAGCTTCTGCCTCAACAAATAAACCAAGCTCTGTCATTTGGAGACTGAGTTATTCAAGAACTTGTAATTTAGATATGTAATCTTTTCTTGTTTCCTTTCCTTTTAATGAGTTAATCAGTTTTTTAAAAATAATGTCTAAACAAGAAGGCTTAGCAACCTAGACTGCTACAAAACAAGTAAACACTAGAGGGAAATGTTACAGAAAATTCACAAATCAAAGTAAAGCAGGCCTGAGTGGTTTTTGGCAGAGGCAAAGGGCAGCTTCTCCCTGCTGGAGAGGATTAAAAAGAATCCAATTCTCGTAGAATCAACAAATAATTATCTACAGCAAAACATCTATCCACTTGGGTCAGCCCTTCTTTCTGCATCAACAGAGCAATAACGATAATAATAAAGTCCCAACACAAAAAGAAGCAGACTCCTCCTGCTGCCCGTTCTGATGGGGCAGTGCTATGGCCACTCTGTCCCAGCTTATCATGCCAATGACTAGGCATCCCTGTTGGATCCCAGGACAACCCAGGGACACCCACAAATAGTTCGGCAAAATGTTCACAAGCACCAGTTCTACGAATCATAGTTAAAACAACAGCAACAACAGTCATTTAGGTTCACAAAGAAATCCTTAGAAGAGAATTCAGAGTACCTGGCCCCAGAATGGGTTGATCTGGGCTAGGTCCTCTACCTCAGGGTGCGGAAGCTCATCTGGTCTCAGGGGTTTTAGGTCTGTAGAAGTGTTATTATCCACAGTCCCAGTTTTAGGATGGCTCCGCTCTCTCACTCTCTCCCTCCTGGAACCGCTACGGCCAGTCTGCTGGTGGCTCTGCACTATCCTGGCCACCGCTTTGTTAGCTCTTCTGCTCACCTCCATGTATTCATCTTGACACAGGCAAAATGGGAGGAAGAGCAAAGCCAACAGGTGCCACCAGACGATCTGCCTCCTGAACATGGCTCCCAGCAGAGCCCCAGAATCTCCCTGGGAAGCTGGGGACGGCTGTAGGTGCTGTGGTCGCCTCAGGCAAATGCCAGGTCTGGAGAGGAGAGCTGCAGCCGAATGGGTGGTTTTATACTTTTGGTGTGTAATAAATAAGGCTGCAGTCATGCCAGAGTGACAGCAGCCCTCCTCCCAGACAGAACAGCCCCATTCATCACATTCCTGCACCACAGGCAAGACAGTCTGTGTGCACGGCGTCCAGTTGGTGGGGTTCATAAATGTCACACCTTGGCATGAATTTTTCGTGTAAGACTGAAGAAAGTGTACACAACCAGCTGGAAACAGAGACTGTGTAGCCAGTGGTTCGCTTTCATGATTAGACATGGAAAGGCTGTGCATTTGTGGTCCAAAATGACTTTTGGAAAAACCTACCCTTGAGCTTGCCAGGGAATCCAGCTCAACTGTGTCAGTCCCTGCAGATACAGCAGGAAGCCGTTCAAGTCAGCAGAGAGAGGTCTCGCTCTAAGTAGTACAGACTGCTCTCTCCCCCACTTTGGGCCACTGCAAGCATCGCATTCTCCCTCCCAGATACCAGCAGTTGCTGGCAGTCTGTTGACCGGGAAAGACTGATCTGAGTTCAGGGGCAAAGGCTGGTTTTTACTGAGATGTTTCTCTCTGCTAAACTTTATTTTCTTCTCCCTCGCATCTCTAGAAGCCAACATTAAACACCAGATGATCTAAGTTCTTGCTAGGTGGAAACAAGCTTACGTCTTTGTTAAAAGACTTTCCTCTCTGGCTGCTCTCTACCTATGGAATTTTGCTGAGCAGTACCAAGGAAGGGTGGAAAACACCCAACAAATATACTATTCTAAGGGCTCAAAACCCAGAGAATTGCCACTTAAAGTTCTGGTGCTTGTGTTAATTAAACCAACGAAAAAAGCACACTCCTAACCTCTTTTGTGATGGCAAATTTAGAGAGTTGATAGTATGGCCATTAAAAATTACTTTTTCTTTTTTCTTTGAGACAGTGTTTCTCTGTGCAGCAGCTCTGGCTAAGCTGGAACTTACTCTGTAGACTAGGCTGGCCTTGTACTCACAGAGATCTGCCTGCCTCTGCCTCCTAGTGCTGGGATGAAAAGCTTGTGCTGCCACCACCCAGCTACAAAATGCTTTTATTTATAGGTCATTCCATTGATTACTCACTCATCAGAAGGTTTCGGTCCTCTCCCTCAAGGATTGCTGCAACCCTGTGCTCATCAAGGAGATGAGTGCCCCAGTGTTTGATCTGGGTGCTCACAGGCAGCAATAGAAGACAGTCAAGACAGTATTCTGTGGAGAAACCATGGTTGCCTACTGAGCAGCCAGAGACAGTGAGGAAGAAGCTGCCACCGGTGCCCTGTTTAAGCATAGGGCCATGAGAACTAACTGCTGCCTCTCAACTGGACAAATTGGCAAATGCTACCTTGGCCAATCTTGCCACTCATTGCCTGACCAACTGTCTCCAGAACCCACATTAATCCAAAGAAAGTGTTAGGGGACAGTGATAGAGTTTTCCTATGAAATAAAGCTCCATAGATGACAGTGGGGGTTGTGTGTCATGAGTAGTCAGAGTAGGCCCTTCTCACCTGGGCAGACACTCCAGTTCACCAGTGGGCTAGCTGTGTCTCAGATGTCCTCCATGGAGGCTCCTTTGAGCCCACACACACATTGTTCAAATGTCAACAGCACATCAGACTGTGGTCCAGCTTGAATTTTCTCGGGAAATCCCCTCATAGACCTGGACGGCAGTCCTGCAGGACCACAGACTGTCTGAGGACACATCAGTGAGTAAGAAAGATAACCCAGGAGAGTGTCTCAGTGGGATGCTCCAACCTCAAGGAGGCCTGGAAAAAATGTGACAAAGCAAGAAACAGCTGTGAAAACTAGGTCACCTGATCCACTGGTGCTCCAAAAGCTGCCCCTAGCTTTCTCCATCAGGCGTGTGCTGTCTGCTCCATAACTATAAATCATCTTCTCTTGACTTCCAGCCACAGCAAGCTGCTCATTAGGGTTTCATGCCTGCCATCCATCCTGGTAGTTCTCAAAGCTGGCTGCACATTAAAATAAACTCAGGGGCTTCTAAAAATACCGATGCCTTGGTCCTACTTCAGACCTTCCAGTCAGAATCTCCAAGACACTGGAACACCAGAAGCTTCCAGCAGTTTTCCCCAGCATGAGTGAGTGCCAGGAGTCATCGATTCATACTCTCTTGGACATAAGGAGAATAAATAATAGCATCATGATTTGTTGATATGCCATCCAAATACTGTAGCTCACTGACTTTTCTTAGCAAACTGACCTATTTTTCGGAGCAAAAATTAGACACTCAAAGAGGTAAAGTGACTTGTTTGGTGTCACACAGTGGGATGGGGTGATTGGGAAGAGATCTCATTGGTCTCCTATTCTGTACTCTCTGTCTTCCTACAAAGCAACAAAGGGAGGTAAAATAGACTGCCAATAGACCACAGATAGACTACCAGTTCTGTATCTGCCAGGAAGCTGTCATAACAAGCAGAGGTCCCACCATGTTGCAAGTTGATTGTGTGCATCTCAAGACAAAGATGCTGTAAAGTCCCCTACACATGTGCGTATGAATTTATTTTGAAATGTTTTCATAGATGATCTCAATGAGACCATTGGAGTGGGCCTTAATCAAATATGACAGTGGTCTCATTAAAAAGGAGAAGTTTGAACACAAGGACGGACAACATGCACACAGGCAGCCTACAGTGGAAATGAAGGTGAGGATCAAGGGCAATGCTTTTACAAGCTGAGGAACACCCGAGATTGCCAGCAAACCTCCCGGTGTTGAACAAGAGGCACAGGACACCCCATCCGACCCTCGGACCCCTTAGCAGAAGCAACCTCACTGACTTCCAATTTTCAGACTGTGACATGGTGATTGTTTCTCTGTGGCACTTCACTGTGGCAATCTTCAAGTGAATAAAGATGGTGCATGTGAAAAGTGGAAGAAAAAAAAAAAAACAAGTTCTGTTGTGTAGCCAGCAGGCTAGCTATGGCTGACAACATTTAACAGTCAATTCTAGAACAGCTAATAGAAAACATTCAATGTTTCTATCATAAAGAAATTATAAATGTTTGAGATGATAGATATATCTATTACCTGTGTGCATATATTGCATTTTATTATCTAACTTCTAAGTATACACAATTACTGTGTCAACTAAAAATTACTTTTAAAAACCTGCAGATTCAGGCTGGAGAGATGGCTCAGAGGTTAAGAGCACTGACTGCTCTCTCTTCCAGAGTTCAATTCCCAGTGAGCAAGTGCTGGCTCACAGCCATCTACAGTGAGATATGGTGCCCTCTTCTGGTGTACAGACATACGTCCAGGCACATGTATGTATACATAATCAAGTAAATAAAGCTTTTTTTAAAAAGCTGGACAGTAGTGTCACACGCCTTTAATCCCAACACTGGGGAGGTAGAGGCAGGTGGATCTCTATGAGTTCAAGACCAGCCTGGTCTACAAGAGCAAGTTCCAGGACAGCCTCCAAAGCTACAGAGAACACCTGCTTTGAAGAAACAACAACAACAGCAACAACAACAAAACCCCTGCATATTCCCAAGAAGATGCTGTATCCAATTCCGACCCTGGATAACCATGGGTTTCACTGGACACTGGGGTGCACATGCCCTTAATCCCAACATTCAGGAGGCAGATACAGGTGGATCTCTGTGAATTCGAGGCCAGTGTAGTCTATAAAGTGAGTTCTAGGACAGCCAGGACTATGTAGTAAGAACCTGTCTCACAAAGAGAGAGGGGGATGGAGGAAGAGAGAGAGAGAGAGAGAGAGAGAGAGAGAGAGAGAGAGAGAGAGAGAGGAGAGAGAGAGAGAGAGAGAGAGAGAGAGAGAGAGAGAGAGAGAGAGAGAGAGAGAGAGAGAGAGAGAGAGAGGAGATGTGGATACATGCTCCATCCCTAACCTAAAAGCTATCTCCATTTGATAACTACTTAAAAGGAAAATTTAGTTTTTTCAAGGAAGTCTCAATGGAGAAACAAACTATCCTTAAGGAGAAACTGTAGATGGCCAACAGGAAATGAAGTCAATGGCAACTTTGGAGGTTCCTTGTCTCATAATGTCTTATCAGGGATTTTATTTTTATTTATTTTTTTTCTTTTTACCCTGCATGTCCTTTGGGTATATGTTATGGCTTCTAATTTAGTGTTTTTATGGGATTCTGGAGTATGCAAATGTGTAGGTTTCTGTCTGTATCTGGTTCTTGTGCCTTTTCTTTGGCTCCTTTCCTTCTGTTTGTTTGCTTTGTCCTGTCCTGACAATTGTTAGTTTTTATCTTATCTTATTATGTCTTATTTTATTAGTATAGCCTGTTTGTTTTCTAATGAGAGATATCTGTATATGAGGGGAGGTGGGAAGGAACTAGGAGGAGTAGAAGGAGAGGAGACTATAATCAAGATATATGAGAAAGTCTATTTTCAATAAAAAGGGAGAAAAACCCCTGCAGCCTACCATCTTATACCTGAGGAGATAGTAGTTTGATGATTTAGCCAATTACAGAAGTTCAAGAATGATGGATGGCAAATCTGTTTCACCAAATACCTGGTATTTCCCTTTACTGTTGAATTTCCCATTAAATTTGCTTAAACCTTAGCTTATTGTTAAATATTTCTCATGATTATCATCTCATATACCTTTCAGGATGTCTCTTGTACCTGGTGTTCAAAAATGCAGGCATAGCTATGATTCTTGCCTATGGGTTAAGTACCAAAATTATCTGGAATCTTCCACCTCTCTGGAGAATATAGTTTCAGTTCTGTATGACCGGCTTGGGTTCTGAAAGCTCTCAGAGGATGTATTAGGACAGTGGGCTCCTAAATTATGCAGGACTGCTCCCTGGATCCTACCTGCTTTTCCTCCAGTACCAGCCCAGGATGTTGACACAGCCTGTAATACAAGCAGCACAGATGTAGGTGCACAGGAATATATGTGTAAAAACCCCATCCCATAGCTCAGCTTTGCATGTTGGAGGCAAATATTTGTTTAGCCTTACAAAGGAGGCTGTTGTGAGATGTGTAGATGCCCTGTGGCCTCCCCCACTATGCTCCAACATGGC